AAACTCATCTTCCTTGAAAGTCACAGCATCTCTTAACCTAGCACTGGGATGCAAAATATAATGCTGAAGAACGTGTTTCAAAGGCATAACAAAAAGTATTGAAGAGGAAATGCTGCTACTCTTAACGCATTACTAATGAGGGACAAAGGTTTGTGCAGAGGAGAAAATTTCCACCACATTTTTTAAAAGAGTAATATTTTCAGTTTCTGATTCTGAAATTACTTTTAAAAGCAGTGATTTTATAATCTATTAAACTCGAGATTATGTAAGTTAATTCTGTCCTATCAGATCGCCAATGAAAAACGTGTGCTGTGGATTCCAAGGACACTGCACTCAATATGTTTTCACCTTCGCCTTCAATACACTGCTATTATACTTTGCAAGTGGAAATGTTTCTCCTCCAGTACACCAACCATTCTTTTCAGAAGATGCTATTCTGAGTGCTTCAAAACAACAAAGACAGTAGTATTTAATGGGCAAGAAGTCCAATTAAAATCAGAGAGAAAAATTTTTGTTTGGTTTGATAAAGTACGTACAATGCATACACTGATAAAGATATGCGTGAAGTACATAAATCTTCCAAAGTCTATTTTTTCTTTTTTTGTTTTAATCTTTCTGTATCTCAATTTACTAGCCATACTTAAAAACAAACACATGTACATAAGAATCACACTTAGAAGTATTAGAATTGTAAAACCTTGATTAGCATGATTAATAATTTTTAACATTAGGTGTTCTCTATCGAACAGAAATTTACAAATTGGCATTATGTAATGTTGACCATAGTGTCTGAACTGCAATATAAAAGTTCTTATTTAAATACTCCCTTAAGTAGAAAGAAGGTCTAATTAAGAAATTAGACTGAGAAATAGGTAACAACTTTTTCCTTATTTCTTTTTCTTATTAGCCAAGAGCAAGCATGTTATCTTTATGACTCAGATGTGTCTGTTACCAAACAGCAGAGTTATTTGGAAAGAAACACTTCATAGACTACTGTTATCTCACTGGTAGCGTATGAACTACGCAATTAATTTGTTTGCCTTGCTTGGCTCAGAAGCCAAAATCCATAAAATTATTTTACTTAAAAGTTTAAGTGTCTTACAGATTTTGTAAAGTAGAGGTGCTGTTTTGTGAAAAATAAAAACAAGCAGACTTGGTGAAAGCAATAACAGAAATAAAAACTGAATTTCAGATACATCCAGGTATTACCTTGAAGATACTAATCAGAGTCATATGTTCATTGAACTGATTACAGCATAATCACAGAATCACAGAATTGCCAGGGTTGGAAGGGACCTCAAGGATCATGAATCTCCAACCCCCCTGCCACACACAGGGCCACCAACCATCCCACCTAATGTTAGACCAAACTGCCCAGGGCCCCATCCAATCTGGCTTTGAACACCTCCAGGGACGGGGCATCCACAACCTCTCTGGGCAGCCTGTTCCAGTACCTCACCACTCTCTCTGTAAAGAACATCCACCTGACGTCCAACCTAAATCTCCCTTCCCTCAGCTTAAAACCATTTCCCCTTGTCCTGCTGTCACTCACCCTTTCAAAGAGTTGATTCCCCTCCTGCTTGTAGGCTCCCTTTAGGTACTGAAATAATAATACTTTGTCATATTTAAAACACCAGCTAGAAAACAATTCAAATTAGTTAACTATTTAATATTTATATATATATTACAAAAAACAACCTGCTTGTTCTCCCTTTTTTCAAGGATTCACTTAGAACATCTATTTTCTAATTAAAATGATTTTCTTGTTTACAATTAACATTAAGAGTAAGTACTGGTGAGCAAAGGCTCTATTCAAAGAGAAATTATTCATACTGAAATAGAACTGAAACTTCAGTTCTCCAAATATGCAATATCATTAACATCAACTTTAGGGAATAAAGAGTTTTAAAGAGAATGTCAGCTGAAAGGATACAAAAGATAACAAATCAACAAGCTACACTGAAATGTATATTCTAACCTAGCTTGACAAATCTGAGGCACACAAATAGCACTAGTTCTAACTTAAAAAAAAAAAGTATTTAACATAATATACTGCATATGCAAGGTTTAAAATGTCATGAAAAACAGCAGCTTTGCTATATTGAAACTCCTAGAAGGTCAAGGTCATGATTTCTGTTCAAATTCCAACATACATGTATTTTAGATGAAAACAACTTTGACAATTACAACAGGTGGGAGGATTATTGAGCCCTTGGCTCAGTTTTATTTCCCGGAATACAGCAAAGTATTTAATTAAACAAGCATCATATATTAAAGAGTTTCCTGGGAATTCCAACTTCTACACATTTCCACATATGCCAAGAAAGATTTTCTTAGAAGGCTTATGTTCCAGAAAAAGATTGCCTTTTCTTTTAATCACCTACTTTAACAACACATTTACAGGATTTGCTGCCTTCAGAAATAAATTCAAGATTATAAGTACTCCAGAACACTGACAAACATGACCAAAACTAGTGAAATCTCAGAAAAGATGGGAAAAAATCACAAGAGGACAGAGAGATAAACAGCATCGGGGCCTGAAGTCAATTCTATTTGCCTAGTAAATGTATATATACAATTTTTAAAAGAAACAGGATATTTTCTAAGATAATAGCTCCCAAACAATTGAAGCTAATTATACCTATTCATATGAGCTAAGGCTAGCAAAATACATCACTAAAACATTCATAATCAGAAATTAAGAATTTAAAACACACAAATGTACATTACTATTGTTTATGCATTAGGTGCACTTTAGAAGGAATGAATGAATATGGCAAAAGATTTAAAAGGTTTGGGTACATTTTCCAAAATATTGCCATTCTTCTTTTGATGTACAGACAGAGCTGATGTTTACTTTTCATTAAATCAACTGGTAACTTAAGCAGATCTAAGTCCGTAAGATGAATTAGTGCTCCCAGATCAAATATTAACTTTCACTAATTTGACACTTCTACAGAAATTCATAAAGCAGAGCCAAAAGCCTAAAATAAAGAAAACTCCTAGTTATTCAGAGGATCACAGAATGTCCCAAATTGGACAGGACCCAGTAGGATCATTAAGTCCAACTCCTGGCTCTACACAGGTCCACCCAAAAAAACCACACCATATGTCTGAAAGCTTAGTTCAGACAGCTTCTTTAACTTTGGCAAACTCAGTGCCATGACCACTTATTAGCTGGGGAGGATGTTTTAGTGCCTGACCACTCTCTTGGTGACAAACTTTTCCTGATCCAACTTGAACATCCTCTGTCACAGCTTCATGCCATTCCCTCAAGTTCCATCATTGATCACCAGAGAGAGATCAGTGTCTGCCTCTCTGCTCCCCCTCACTTCACAGATGCTTTAGTGAAGAAGGGAAAAGACAAGAGACTACTTATTCAAAACTGTTCCAACAAAAAAGAACAGAGAACCTTCTTAACAATTGTAAATGCATTCTTCATTCATTTGCTTTACTCCTGCATTTGGGCTTTACCCATAATGTCACTAATGATTCTTTGTACTCCCCGTGAGCTACTTCTTCCATTATTTTAAGTAACAAAAGCCAACCAACTTCTCTCCTTCATTTGGATTCTCTAACCATTGCTTTCTCCTTACAGTTTAACATCTTTTCTATGGTATTAGTAGCGTTCTCCTTTTCCTTTGGAAAAATAGCTTTTCCAGTTTTCTTTTCCAAGTCACTTACATCTACAAGTTTACAGTCTATTAGCTGCACAGTTAAAAACTGGGCTTTTTGTAAGAGCATTTGAATTTTAAATAGCCATACATTGTCTTGGAACATAGTTAAAAAAAAGAACACTTTCTAAACATTTAAATGAATCACTTCATAAATTATGCTCTTGGATCTTGCACTAACAGACATGAACTCTGTTATTTCTCTATCTTTTACCAACTTAAAGTAATTGATTTGTCGAATGAAAGTCAGTCACCCAAATTAAAAAAACAAAGAAGACTATGTTTACAAGACTTTGAAGCAGGTAAATTAAATTCATGGAGATGGTAAGTCCATTAATCTTGCATACACTGTCACATGCACTGTTATTAAAAATCAATGGCACAGTGATTCAAATTCAAAATTGATATAAATAATGGTACAAAAAAGCAATGAATGCAATGTCTCTTCTTGGGCACTAGATAAAAGAAATGTAGTGATCCCGTGGTCCACTTCCTCTATGTATCAACATACTTACTAAGGCTCCACATATTGTTATCTTATTAGCTCTTCTTACTAAACTCATTGATGATAAAAAATGCTTGGCCCACAGACCAGTATCTACTAAGGAGGACTGACTAACCATCCCTTTCATCAACTATCCATCTGTCCCTCAAAGTAGCACATTACTTAATCTAATTTATATTTTTTTTATTTAATGATTTCCTGCATAGGTGAGTGTAGTACAGGCTGCCATCTGCTAAAATTATTGGTTAGCTAGTAACCACGAGCTTCCTCGTGAAACAAAAGAAGTACCAGGAAGCTGGCCTCAGATTACCCGTGGTAAATCTCTGTTGTATTTTAATTCCGTGTTTCCAATTATTCATTCCATATGTTTGTTCTAAAGCACTGAATACTATTAAAAGTAGAGGACTGGAAGGCCTGTGTCACTACAGCATCTAAAACTACATAAATGGAACAACAATGGAAACATTCAAGCCTGAAAGATCAAAGCATGTTCTCTATCAATGATCTCTGTAAGCGGAGGTGGAAAACGCTGGCAGGATCTTACTGCTCCTGTAAAGAAAATAATCTGTATCGTTCTACAAAATATTTACAAAAATGCTTTGCTTTTATTTCTTAATAGCAAAACAAGAGTAACATTGTTTTATTTTTGTTTTAATAATTCACAAAATGTTTTCAACAATAATTAAGACAGCCACCAGAAGCTGTAAATAAACTTACTTAAAAGCTCGTTCTGATGTGAATCTACACCAAATATAAATATGAAATGACTAAAAAAACCCAAAATATAGTATTTTGACAAAATATTGGCTCGTCATTATCAGTACTGAGTTCTGACTAAAGGCCAGAACAAAGTTTTAAAAGAAAACAAGAAAAAAAGAATCTTTTCCAATATGGAAATTCTAATCCCAGAAACCTGTGTCAATTAGCATGTTTTCTCAGGCATTGGGTTCGCTGTTTGCATTCTTTTTCTTTATGGAGACCACCTCTTTTTTTCTTTAATCATTTTCCTCTTTAATCATTTTCCTCCTAGCTCCAAACTATCCACATTTTTCTGATTCCTTATGAGACTTGCACCTCTGCTGGGATAGTACCTTAGAAAAGGAGAGCAAGTATACACACGCACACACATGAAATATTTAGTATTCTCTAAATGTTCAGCACAGGCCTTGAGATAACGAAGGCAACAAAGCTGGTGAGGGTTCTGTAGCACAAGCCTTATGAGGAGCAGCTGAGGGAACTGGAATTGTTTAGTCTAGAGAAGAGGAGGCTTCGGGTAGACCTTACTGTTCTCTACAACTACCTTAAAGGAGGTTGTGACAAGGTGGGATTTGGCCTCTTCTGTTTTGTAACTAGCAAGAAAACTAGAGTGAATGACCTCAAGGCTGAATTCCACTTTGCTATAACTTTCTGTCATGTGGTTGTAGAGAGTGATAAGTTCTTTCCTGAACTTCCTATGGGAGCATGCATTCTTAATGGTTGATTCTGGTGTTTCCAAGATCCATGATGTATGAATATGCATACAATTTCTAGTTAATTTTCCAGGTTCCTGATAAAAATGAAGACATGGAGTTCTCTTTCAAAAGCAGTCATGACAGTAAATAACAAATATCTTTAGAAAAACCTTCAGAAATGAGGAAGTGTCTATAAAATCTACGAACTCAACTCAGCAATATATGGATTATTATTGACCAAGACTGCTTTTGCAGAATTTTACATTTCACCTAAGTCTTGGTATAACAAAGATCAACTTTTACATTCTTCATAACTACCAAAGTATTCTGGCAGTGAAATAAACCATTTTTGAAGATGAAAACAAAGGTGTACTGTACAAAATTTATGTTCTGAGTTTGCTATGATATTCTGGTTTTATTATTAAAATACTCTTCATTGAATAAATATGTTTCATTAACTTAGAAGTGTAAGTGAGCTTGCAGGTATATGAAAAGCAGGATGATGAAAGAATAAGATCTCCTTACTTTCATGAAGCACTCACCTCAAGAAAGGAGTTCATGCTGAAAGTATGTTTATCTACTCCTAAAAGCATACTGCTCAAAGTCAATCTCCAAGAAAACTATAAAATAGAAAGCTACAGGTACTGGAATTGAGACTTAAAACTGGCACTTGGCTTGAGATAGTGAGATCCATCCTCATCAGAAATTTGCAGTGATCAGTAAAATTAGATTACTGTTTTCCTTTCACAATAAACACCGATGGTGCAGATGCTACCACCAATCCCATCATGCTCCAGAGTAAAAATTACAAGCCAAAAGAGGAGGAAAACTATATGTAATATTCTATATATAACGTCACTCAATTGGGATCAAAGCTTGTCTTACTCCATTTGGCAATACAGAAGGGTTTGTATTTTATCAACTAGTTATTACATCTGAATGCACAGGAATAATAACTGGTACCTTTCTTAAATCTGTCATCCTTTTAACAAAAAGACAACTAGCAGTGTACCTCTCCTCTCTCTGTGAACTTCTTCCAAAAGTTGTTCTTGCTTTTTTATCTTTTTGAAGAGAGACTGATGTTCAGACTCCTTCAGCTGTGTAAAGTGCTTGAGATGTTGTTGGCTCTGAAGCAAGTAGCGTCGCAGCTTTTTTTCTTTACTTTCTCTCTCCTTCACCTCCTCGCGCAGCCACTGCAGCTTAGTCTACATTGAAAAATGGGGACAATAAACAGAATTCCAATAAAACTACTAGGACAAAGTTTAATTGAACAAATTATCTTTGGAATCACAGCTTACTCATTTGTAGCTATTACTGCATAACTATAATAGAAGGAAACACTCAGATATATTAAAAGGACCCTCAAGGAATCTCAACAGAGATACATTTAGGCTGATAATTGTATGCACAGAAGCAATACACATATTTTTTTTTTTTTGCTGCTGTACTTAAGTAAGGAAATTCACATTTATTTAGAGCTTTATACAGACACCAAGACCTGCTCCTGAGCTTAACATTAATAATGCGCATTTCATTGCTCAGTTAGTACAAAATGCTCTTCCAAACACCTTTGTTAAACCATCCTTCTTCCAGGAGGTCAGCCACAATAGGTAGAGCTTCACAGACACCTTTCTGCCTCCACACAAGATCTACCTCTGTCATTTCCATCTAATCTTGTGAAATTTCCACAGTACCATTAATGTATTTTTCTATTCATTCCCATAAAATTTTCCTCAGTTGAAGTATGGAACATCAGAAACATACACAGCACTTAGAGGGTTTATATAAAATGAAAGTCAGTAAAAAATTATATTTTAACAGAAAGTTAAAATAAATGTTCCTAGTACATTCAAAGCTATGTTTTTAAACAATTTAACCTACAAACAGGAAATGTTAAGAAAAATGCAGGAAACAAACTCCATTTTTAACATTAAAGTTCAGAAATCATGTCTCAAAAGTATTTCTACTGAAGAAAATTTGTACCTTCTAGAGACTGTAGTAATCTGGAGAAAAATCAGCATTCAGAAGAGAAAAACAAAATTAATTCTCAAAAAGGGGCAGTTTGACAGAAGTAGTTGAAAAAGTGATTACGATATTTAATTATACTACCAAAAATATCAGTCCCAAGGCCATTATTATTACAAACAAATTTTGCCACTCCTTGGACTCAGTGTAAACAATTTCAGAAATTTAGGAAAAAAACAGAAGACTTCAAGTTTTGAATGCTCATAAGCAGTTGCAATGATGCAGAAATGAAAAATGTGGATAACTATTATGGCATTATAGTCCCAGATTTATATTATCTTTTTTTAAATTTTGCTTTTAATGAATACTTTTATCACTTTTTTTTTTTAAAAAAAAAAAAAGAAAAAAAAAAAAGAAAAAAGGGATGACATCTCAAGTTCTCATTCATTCTAGACTGCTCCCTGCTAGCTAAAGATACTTACAAGAGAAATGTATGCAAATGATTATTAGGTACACTTTGAAAAGTCTATTCAATATGACAATATCACTTTTTAAATTATGAAAATACATAACATCTCTTCTTTGATTTTATCTTTATTATTTATAGTGATAGTCTCTCCCGGTCTAAGAGTATCACTTAAACCACATATCAGCAATAACCCCAAATTGTCTTACATGTACACCTTACACAAAGCAGAAATTTTTATGTATTCCACAATTTCTTATGATCTGCTTTGATCATTAAAAGCTGAATCCTTTTAAAGGATACTGGATAAGAAGCACATCTAGGGGGAAGGGAAGCTGCCAGATAGTTCTAATTCACCAGTCATCACCTCAAAACAGTTTTGAAGCATGAATGCAATTACATTACAGAATTCAGAAACTATAAAGGAAGGCAGAAAGGAAATTCCCGGAATCCAATCAAATAACATTTAGATTTAATAAAGAAAAGCCTTATTTCAAATTATTTCTTGTCTCATCAAATATAACCCTGCAGAATAATCTGCTGACTGCCTCAAAATAATTTATATAGTGGGAAACACAGATCACCAAGATCACTGTAGCTACTTTTTTTTTTTTGTAAATTGTTATTTGTTTGGCTATAGTGTTTCTTGTTGATAGTAAATCTGTAAAATTATTTTATCAGCTGAAATAACAGTCTGGGAATATCATAACTGCTGACAAAGGAAAGCTTTTGCATTTTTTCCCCTTTTAACTGTCTTCTCAAACACACTTTCTACTAAATGATTACGAAGGCTGGATATTAGATTGCTCAACAACAATTCAGACAACTTGACCATTACCTTTGTCTCTGCTAACCAGCGATGAGGATCATTCAGCACTGTCGGTGTAAGTGATATTGCCTGTAGAGTAGGGAGAGAGAATGAAGTATGCATTAAAAAGGGTATTAGAAAAAGAGAAAATGTTCTTTCCAGCTTACTGAAAAATCATCAAATAAATATTCCTTGCTATAAAGTCCAGCTGGGAAGTCATATCTGTATATGGTTCAATAGAACTGTTTATCTACAAGCAAGCCAGACTTAAAAGTAAATTATGCAAACTCATTGAATCATAGAATCACGGAATTGCTCAGGTTGGAAAAGACCTTCAAGATCATCATATCCAACCACAACTTAACCATATTACCCTAACTCTATCAACCCTCTGCTAAATCACGTCCCTGAGCACCACATCCAAATGCATTTTAAACACACATTCAGGGATGGAGACTCAACCACCTCCCTGGGGAGCCTATTCCAGTGCTTAACCTCCCTTTCTGTAAAGTATTTCCTGATATCTAACCTAAACTTACCCTGGCGCAACTTAAGGCTATTTCCCCTCATCCCATCACCTGTCACCAGTGAGAAGAGACCAACCCCACTCCCTCTGTAATCACTTTTCAGATATTTGATATTTGAAGAGAGCAATGAGGTCTCTTCTCAGCCTCCTCACAGACAAAACAGCCCCAGTTCCTTCAGTCATTCCTCACAGGGCATATTCTCCAACCCCTTCACCAGCCTTGTTGCCTCTATGGAATTAGTGGGAAGAAGATTGCGGCGCCCACCCCAACCAGCAGTTTTGTGCTGAGATTCCACTGTACGAAGCTTATTACAAACAGGTAGATCCAACATACACGGGGAGAGTTGGGGCAAGTGAAGCTGTGTTGTTTTTTAAGAAGTCTGGTCTCTCTGATATTATCCTTGGAAAAATACGGGATTTGGCTGATCCAGAAGGTAAAGAGTACTTGGATAATTAGGGTTTCTATGTTGCATTGTGCCTCGTAGCATGCACACAGAAAACCCACGAGGTTAACCTGAGCAGTCTGAACTTGACCATGTCACCTCCTAAATTTCATGACACTAGCAGTCACACTGCCTTCAACAGAGACTTACTGGGCTGTTAGGGTAGAAGAAAAAGCAACGTTTGATGGTACTTTTGAAAGTCTTGCCAGTAAATGGTTTACTTTCAGGAGACAAAGTAAAACAAGTTCTGATAAATTCAAAGTTACCTCTTGATATCTTCATAATATCTCACTCTAATATCCAGTACCCAACAGCTGTATCTATATCAGATAAATATTCCTAGTCCTCCTGTCCCTAAATTGTCTATATCAAAGAGTGGTATGTTGCCTCAGCAGATTTTGCTACAATCACCCATTAAGAAAACAATGAGAAACACAGCATACTGAAAAACTTAGAATTACTTTGAATTTCTCCATAGAATCCCGAGAAAAAATCTCACAAGCAGCATCAATTTCAGTTCCTATCATGGTGAGAATGGATTCCTTTTCCATTTCTAAATGATGCAGCTGAACCTTAAATTGCAGTCTTGCCTTGTCCATCCTTCTCAAATGATCTTCTTCATCGCTGATCTGTTTATCCTGCAGTTAAAGAGCAACAACAAATTATTGCATTAATAATGTAACATGCATAAACAGTAATATAACTATCTTCCAATATTATAATCACTCTACACCCAGACACTGAGTACAGTTCCTTGCCGTGGAATATTACACCTTCTCATATAACTCAAAATCCTCCATATTCTCCCGGAAATCAGCTGTGAACAAATTGCACTAAATCCAAACCCAGCAGTCATTGAGTCTGATTTTAATATTTTGTCCTGGAGCTCAAAGAGGCATCTCATCAAAAACACAGGACCCCAGATGAAACTTGAATTGACAGTCTGCATGTCCTCAAATGAAATTATTCAAAGAATCTCTATTTGTGACTGGCACTGAGGAAAACATTTTAAAGATATGCAATCGTCTCTAAAAACTGTATCTTCTTAGGGTGACGGAGCACTGGAACAGGCTGCCCAGGGAGGTTGTGGAGTCTCCTTCTCTGGAGATATTCAAGACCCACCTGGACGCCTACCTGTGCAACCTGGTGTAGGGATCCTGCTTTGGCAGGGGGGTTGGACTCTATGATCTCTGGAGGTCCTTTCCAACCCCTACGATTCTGTGATTGTGTGATCTTCTTAATACTACATAAAGTTGGAGCTAGCTTTCAGCCACATTTCTTGAACAGTAGACATTATACAATTAAAATCTCAACCAAGAAAAAAAAAAACCTGAATTTTCATTTGTAGTACTTTGTACTAGCCTGACGGAGTTGAGCTTTTAAAGCACTTCTTTTTAGAACAATGGGAACAAGCTAAAACAAAGTTCAGTTTCCAAGTTCATGTACTGCAAGTCTAAAATTACCTTAGAAATGAATGTATTCATTGTAATAATGAAAAATAACATTAATAAAATTTTTCACAGAAAAACAGTAATTAAAAACCATTTTTACTCAACACTAATCCTAAAAACCTACATTCAATTAAACTTCTGCCCCCATTTTTTTAATCCATGGATATTTCACTAGTAACTATGAAAACGCTGTCACATACAACACATATTGTACCCTGTGCAATTGTACCCCTAAAACAAATTACATTAATTTTGTAAACATAGTAGTCACAACCAAAGAGTAGATGCAGCTAATGAACAGCAAAACCATCAGTCTTCTTATTTTTAAGAGATTTTAAACATTACTTCAGCATATAATCAATACAACCAAACTATGTTTAATTTGGCAGGTTACTGATAAATCTTAAAAGTCTCATATTCCTTTTGGAGACAAGGAAGAAAAAGAGGCAAGGAGCAAACAAAATTATGTCAAGATTTTTTTCAATGCATAAACTTTCAGAAAGGAAAAAAAATGCCTATGTCCTTCTCTTAGGGCTGATATTCACAGCAAAGAGTCAGCATAGGCTGAAGAAAGAAGTAATACGACAAAAGGAACTAATGGAATTTCCAAACAATCCCTTTACCTTATCTACATTCAAAATGAGCTCATTAGATTTTAAACTCAATATTTATGTGGTGACTGCATATTTCATTTATCCTAACAAAATATGAGTTGAAATTTAAATTGAAAAAATGGAAAAGACAAAAGGGACCTACAGCATCAACAGGCATCTTTTAACAGATTTAAATAAACTACTGAGCTAAAGCATCTGACAACAATTCAGTGTTTCCTGTGCAATGAATGAATAAACCTCCTGTATCACGCTAAGATAAACACTCAAAACATGGAATTTAAGTTCACAATGATAAGAAATTACTGAATTTACATAGAAGTGTAAGAACGTTGCAACTAGCAGCACAAATATCCACTTTTTAAAAAGTGAAGATATCGTGAAAAAAATTGTAAGTGATTTTCTGTAGGAAGAAAAAGTTTCCTGTTTGTTTTCTGGAATTTTAATTTAGAAACTCAATTTAAATCTATCAACAATCATTTTCAGTATGTTACAGAATCACAGAATGGCCAGGGTTGGAAGGGACCTCAAGGATCATGAATCTCCAACTCCCCTGCCACCAAATGCAGGGCCACCAACTTCCACATTTAATGCTAGACCAGGCTGCCCAGGGCCCCATCCAATCTGGCCTTGAACACCTCCAAGGATGGGGCATCCACAACCTCTCTGGGCAGCCTCTTCCAGCACCTTACCACTTCTCATAGTAAAGAACTTGTCGCTGACATCCAACTTAAATCTTCCCTACTACAACTTAAAGCCATTTCCCCTTGTTCTGCTATTATCTGCCATTTCTAAGAGTTGACTCTCCTCCTACTCATAGGCTCCCTTTAGGTACTGAAAGACTGCAATGAGGTCACCCTGCAGCCTTCTTTTCTTCAGGCTGAACAAGCCCAGTTCCCTCAATCTGTCTTCGTAGAGGAGGTGCTCTGAATTTCATATTCTTAACATTATTCTTAATATGAATCAAAAATGGACAGAAAGGCTTTTTGCACTGGAGAAGGTAAATCTTGTTCTTGTACAGAAATACTCAACTGAAATCACAATGTTGCAAAAAGAAATTAACATAAAAACAGGACCATGTAAAATACAATAGTGTTAAGGAAAATATTAAAAAGTAATGTGGCAGCAATCATGGAAACAAAAAAACCTCAAGTAAACAGGAAATGAGTTTACAAACTAAAATTTTATTCAGCACCTCCAGATTTACCACTAGACTTGTAAATAATTGTAGGATGTGAGAATATGAATTAATATTTGATCAAAAATATTAGTAAGAAGAACTTTCAGCAATACGAATGCCTGACAGAGAGCACACATCTCTAGAAATACAATACCAACATACAAAAAGGATGTAAATTTCTCTAAAAGCTTGTGCTAAAAATATTTCCTGCTTGAATGTTTTAAACAAGTTATTTAGAATTTCTTTTCCCACAATTACATTCCTTATCTACTTCAAATTTGCTCTGAATTTTTCATAACTGTATATGCAGAATATGAAGAGAATTGGAAGAGCTGAATTAGGTATGTTAGTTTCTCAGTTACCCATATTAGAAGAAAAACTTATATTCCTATTCTGATAAGTTTTTCTTATACTTCACTAATGAGCAGTTTCAATATATCTATGATATATCTATGGAGGGACACAATTCATAATTCAGTCACTGATTTATATACAAAGTATGTACTACAGCATCTGTTACTGAATGTGCCTATGTGGGTTTTTTTTGCTAATTCTATAATTCCATATCTAATTCTATTTTCTATTCTATATCTAATTTTATAATTCACTTTTATTTTAGACATTTATCTGAAGTTTAAAAAACTTCAAAAAACTTTAAAAAACTTTAAAAAAAGTTGAGACTAATTATGTTTACCTTTTTCTCTAGTTCTTGTTTTACAAACTCAAATTTTTGCTTGAGTTCTGTATTTTCTTCTCCACACTGGGTTAATTCTTTTGTCAATTTATCACATTCTATTTTTATCTTCTCCAGTTGTTGACTCTGAGTTTTGACTATGCTCTTCTGTTCTACAAGTTCCATCTGGAGGTAAAAGATAAATAGATGACAAAGTCACTATACAAACTACTTCCCATCGTTCTCAGACAGTTGAGTTTCAAGACCACGGAACATAATCATAGAATGATAATTAACTTTTTTCTTTTTTTAACATATAAGTTGTATTAAATGCAATCAGTTATCTGAATATGGCAAATATATCACACAAAAATAATTATCAATTAAGGAAGCCATACAGTGAAAGTAAAATTATTGCATACAATGACTTAATATGACTTTGTTGTTATTATAATGATTTATTAGTTCTGCCAAAAAAAGTTAATGATACAGATTTTTCCTTTACAATTTAGAGTTGTCCTGAACTTTACCAATAATGCAAATATAACTGCAAAACCAGGTCACATAGCATTGACATTCTTCTAAGCTAAGTACACTGCAAATTTCTGTAAAACGCCATAGCACCATACAGTCTCTTTAAAACAGTAAGTAGAACTCTAAGACTCTGCATTTCAAGTCTGTTACACTCATCAGCTGACATCACTTAAAGAAGCTCAGTGTTTATGCAAATATTCCATTACTGCAATCATTTGGAATCAGAAATACCAAAACTCATTTCATTGTAAGAATACTAAATTTATATCTGCAGGGAAACAACTTCAAAGGTTTGGTTGCTTTTCCATTTCTAGAACTCTGTGTTCTTAACACTATTCGTAAAGATGTTATAGAGGAAAATTAGGAGAAAAAAACATCTAAGGGACCTAAGAGCCCAAAGTAGTTGAGTGAATAAAATATATCAGTTTCCATGGGAAAGATGAGACCTGCCTTTCCTCAATTAGATATTTGCTTCTCATTCAGCTGACTGATTTGAGAAATTCTCCAGAAGATCTATAAAATAGTAAATTAAAAAAAAAAAAACAAGAACAAAACAAAGAAAATTACACAAACATATCATTATCCAAAACCAGATTTAAAATAGATGAATTGCAAGATGCAGTTATACACAAAAACACACCTGTAGAGTAAATTCCTGAGGAGAATCAGGACTATAAATATCCATTGCTTGCTCTGAAAATAATACCTCTTATTTATTTACATGAAAACTACATCAGATAAAAAGAGCACAATAACACTATTTCATAGAGCAAATTCGCAGTTACAGAACTCTAGTTATCAACTTTGTCACTATCGTTAACTGTGCACTTTTGCCAGTGACAAACAAGAGCCTGCATGCAGCACTCGTAAAAATCTGCAGCAGTGGAGGTGACCCACTGTCACCACTGCTGAAATGTACCATCCACCACTTCACTTTGCTCACATCCACTGTTTGGTCTCCACAAATGTTCAGCAAGTGTCAGTGAATATCAATGGGTATTGCATGCAATTTTTTTCTGCAGGAGGAATTCAGTGACACACCTTTGTTTCACACACACTCCCGCATCAGACACCATTTTGTCAGGCTGCCCCTCTGCTGCCATGTGTCACACAGAAATAACGTGTAACAGAATATTGCTGGGAAGGTTCAGCCTCTACTGCAACACCACCACCATCTGCCTCTGACACCGTGGGCCAATATATTAAAATAGGAGGCATTATTTTCTGAGCAGCCCTCGTATATTATGTTGGGAAGAAGATTAAGAAAAAAGATTTTACAGTTTAATTTAGACACAAAGACAAGCCTGCAACACCTAGAATACTTCCAATTAATAGGTTTATACAATTCTCTTTTCAGTTCCTACTAAGTGTATAATAAAGTATATGAAAACAAACAATTCAAGAAACAGGTTCCTCAATCATATTGCCTTTGAGTCACAATTGAGAACATTAATTTTTATTAATTTCTAGTACACTTGTGGCAGATGTGTTCATAATTTCACTGATCTGGATTGAATCCATTATTTTCTGCCTCTGATTATTTTCAGGAAGAAAAAAACACGCCCATTTCTTGAATGCATATAGAAGTTAATTTATAAACAAAGAAGATAGGCAAATATTTATGTATACATATGTATCTTTTTATAATCTTAAAGATTAATATTTGAAACTCCTGTCACAAGAAAATTTTGTATTTCCTTTTTCTAAAGTTGCAATAATGCTTTTGAAAAGCAAGTGAGGGCAGGTAGCAGAATTAGGGGAGAGATTTAGGGCTTCTGATCACACATAACAGTTGGAAACCACGAAGTAAAGTAAACTACTTTATTTCCTCTGCTTCATTTATCTACCATTTAAAAAAAAAAAAAAAAAAAAAAAAGAAATAAGAGAGACATTGGCTCCTTTAAGGGATTCTAGAAGAAACAGATGTAAAATCTTAAAGTACCAGAATCTCAGTACAGAGACAGTAAGATCCTTCTCAACACTGACATCTTGCATGTTGCAGTAGTCTGTAGAAGCACATAACATTTCATACACTACCCTCCTATGCTAATGCCTCATTAAAACAAAAATTCTTAACTACTTTGTAACTTCTCAATCCAATGCAGCAATGCAGCAAATCAGACGAGAACGAAGCAGAAAGTATCATGCAGAAGATGTAAGAGAAAAAAGAACTGCCAAGGATAAAAGAACTTTTCACATCAGAAATCCTCCTCAGATGAGGTTTTGGGTCTTAAGAAATGCATTAAATTTGCTTTTACCACTACTACATTCCTCTCAACTGACTTTTATATTTCAGACTTTACTATGATCAACTTCTGAACAGGGTACTGTACTGTACTACAGGGTACTGTATTTCACAGAAGTATTTACAATAACTTACAACAAAGGTTGAAAAAAGATTATAAATAAAGTCAAGACTATCCAGGTGATAGGAAAAGACTGTTGATTATCGGGCACAAAAACTCAGTGCAATGAGGGGGAAAAAAAAGCAACAAACAAAAGCACACAAAAAAAGAATTTAAAAATCATACTAATTTTAACTTAACTTGGGAGAAAACTTTATCTATAAAAGTGAAACCCAAATGCAGTCTAAAGGTGAAGAAACTATACCACCTGTACCATCACAACCTTATCAGATCCTCTCACAAAATAATATACCTAGCTATTTTGTTGCTCTCACATTGTTTGAATCGATGTTTGTTGCATACTACCATTGTGCGCTCCTAAAAACAGTTGCCTACACAAGTATCTTACAAAATTCATTTCCCTCAAGCTCTCCACTCATCTGTGCTGAAGCTGTAAAAAATTGTATGTAGATTAAAAAGTCTAAGATAAAGTCACAGCTCTATAAATGAAAAAAAGGAAGTGACTTCTCTTAATATTCTGTTAAGTCACAACTGTCAGGATCGATATCAAGGCCTTTACTGTAACACTGACCTTTTCATAAAAGGGAAAAATAGTCACAATCAGCTCAGGTTTTGATTACCACCATCCAGAATACATTTCCCTTGACATCAATTGCAATTTCATGCAAAAAAAAAGAATTCTTATTCGGACAGATCACTTATATAACAATGCTAGACACATTATAAATTAGGTTCCCAAAACATTAAGCATTTCCTGTCAAAATATTTTCAGTTTCTAATGATCCTTCCACTAACAGCTACCCAGTGTTTGGTTGTTGTTTTTTTTTCTTGCTATCTTTATTAAATGCTATGTTATACAGTGCTTAACATATTGTCAGTTCTGCCATGAATGATAACTAACCATGCTTTTCTAAGAAACATCAATTCGTAACTGCCAAGATGTGGAAAACATGCATTTTAACCTAATCTGTGTATTTTTGAGAAAAGAAATCAATTTCTTTATATTACCTATGATGAAGCAATCACCACAGTTTTGATTAAGGATTTTATAGCTTCCTGTGGTTAAGTTTTTATATGGCAAATTTTTAATTAAAAATATCTGATGAAACTGAGCAGAAAAATATATTTATAGTGCTAATAAAGTATTATTTGATCACTATTTACATTCTGAAAGTGTTTCTAAATACACTGACGGTACTCCAACATTGTGCGATTCATATCTTTAGAAAAATGCAACATCTCTGAAATAAAGCCAATGAAATAAATCTAACAGAGCCATGATGATAACTTATTGAAATAGTAGTTGAAAAATAATCAAACAATGTTAAAGCACTAGAGCTTTACACATCTCCTCCTGTTCTGATCACTGATATAGCTAGGTCATTACTTCTGAACTAATAAAAACTTTTGCTCTAAAACTACTATAAGAATACAGTTTTTATGAAGACTTGCAATAATATGTGTTAAATGTTTTTCAACACATATTTTACTACTTTAATCGCTCAAAAGAAATAAAAGTTTGTTTTTGGAATTATACAGAATACCTTTAGCATTCTGATTTGAGAGTCTGCATCATCCTTTTCTTGTTTAAGGAGTTTTGTAAGCTCTTGAATGTTTCGTTCATGTTTGATTTTAGCATTATGTAATTCTAATCGAAGATCTGCTAACTCCTGTTGGTGAACTTCTCTTTCCATCTTCAACTGTTTATTAGCTGAAGTCATCTCTTCATGCTTAGATTCCTGATGCTTCTGGAGTTCTGAGAGGCTCTTACGTAATTCCTTTTTGATTTTTTCTTCTTCTGCTATTCTGTTTGTAAGCTCCACACGCACAGCACTCAGATTTTTTACATCTGCTTGCATTTCTAAGAGTCTTTCCCGGTCTTTTTCATGAATTGAGTTACTACTTGCAAGTTCTTGTTCCAAATGTTCCTTTTCAGCTTGCATCTGATTTTGTAGAAAGATTTGCTTTTTCAACTCATTCTCTAATTTATTTACAGTACCTCGAACTTCTTTTATCTCTTCTTCCAGAGATATTTGTTGAGACTTCATTTCATTTAGTTTTACCTCTTTGCAGTGAAGTTGTTCTTCCTGCTGGGCTCTTTTTGTAAGCACATCATTCAACTCTTTCTGAAGGTTTTCTATTTGGTGTATAGCAGAGAGAAGTTGATTTCTGAGGTCATCTTTTTCCTTGAGGACCTAGGAAATATAAAAAAGAAATCCAGTGCCACCTGAAGTACTTAAAGGAAATAACTGGAAGTTAACACCTAAGTAGAATGCTTTGTTCTGCAAAAATTTCAGAACCTGCAGACTTTGACAATAAAAGGTATCACTATAAGCCTAGAGTTTGAGAAAAGCCTAAAAACACAATGGAATTAAAAATACGCCCAGAGTGTCAAAATCCATATAGAATTATGATATACTAGCAATTTGACATACACAGTAAAAACAAATGCTATATTCAAAGATGTGACCTGAGTATACTACATTAAGCAATATATAACTTTACCATTTAAACATTTACAAAAATAAGCTACATTTACAGCAAAGTGAAAAGAAAAAAAAAAAAACAACATTCATAGCACAACTTTCTTCTTTACAAGAAAAAAGCTTTGATTAAGGAGCTGCAATACTGGCTAAAGAACAGAATTTGGAACTCTGTAATACTTAAAAAAATATTGCCTTCTTTTTGCTATTTTGTAGTTCATTAGAAAATTTAGTCCAGAATGTAAGAAGGTGGATGGTTTAAGTTACAACTTGCATAAATAAACTTATATTCATTTCTGAAAGTAAATGGGATGGTTACAAATAAAGACTATCTTACCTGATTATTTTTATCCATCAGTTCACTTATAGCTTCATTTTGTTTTTCCATCTCACGATCCAGTTTCTTACACTTCAGTTTCCATTGTCGGATGCTTTCCTGTGCTCTCACCTTCAAATCTTCTCTTCTTTTCTCGGTTTCCAGCCTGAGTGCCTCTGAATGCTTGAATTCAGTAAGGTACCGTTCTGCTTCCTTGGTACTCTCTTCAACTTGATGAGCTAATTCAGCAGACTGGAGTTCTGTTTGCCTACGTCCATTCTCACTAGCCTTGTAGCAACTCTCTATCTCTTTTAGCTGGTCTAGCATTTTTTGCTGCTGCTTCTTCCTGTTTTCCAGGTCAGATGTTAACGCCTAAAATCGCCACAGTAAAATACAAAAATTTCAACACTGAAGATATACAGTATGAAACCTTATAAAAAACAACAAACATACAGCAATGCTCAAAACACATTTCTATCTAAAATAAGAATTGTTTAAAAGATCTCTCTGATTAGGCAATAAATACCATTAGCTCACAGAATCTCCCTCTGAAATAGTGAAGAATTTCAACATTCGATATAAAATACATGGCCAATTTATCCTATATTTTACTTTTAGCATTTATTCTTCTTCTGGTTGTTCATATTGTTATTTGTATTTCAAAACTGAGACAGAACTGGTGACCAAGATCTCCTAATATAATATGCACTAAACAAACAAAATATATCAAAAAGTCAGATATAAGGAAATAGACATAAATATATTGAGTGGAAAAAGAAAACTAGCCAGGAAACAACACCAGTCATCACAATAGAAGTAATCTATATACAAGCTAGATATTACCCAATGTTATTGGAGCAACAGACAGAATAGTCTTACGGAAGGAAGAGAAAAATAAAGAAAAGACAGAAAAAAAAGAAAATACAGCAGCTTGCTGGATGTTTCTAGAATAAATAAAACAATTCTTAGTATGCACTTCATTTCAGCATAACATTAGCAAGCATTCTGGAGACATCGATTAGTTTCCATACCGAATAAAATTTGACAGATGGAATGAAGTAGGAAAGAATAAAAACATGTATTTTAAAAATAATAACTGCTGCTTATCTTGAATCTAGTGATATTTCCCAAGACAGTCTCATAAGTTAGTAAAAACATTTTTCATAAGCATTCTGCATTCAGAAATCAGTTACTGAAGCTTCACTATCCCAAACTGAATTAAAATTCAGATTGTCAAGTAAGAATTTTATTAAGAAGGAATTTTATTAAGGTTGTCAATAAGATTAGTATTCCATATTTCAGACCTATTTAGACCACTTTTATGCTATTCGGTATTTTTATAATAACTTAAATGGTTTTATTAGGCCTACTCCTTTCAAAGATATCATCAAGCTTTAAAGGATGGAAAAACTTTAGAGAAGAGGATTAGATTTCAGAACAACTGAAACAAATTGGAACTGTCCTCTGAACTGAACAATTCAAACTGGACAAAGGAGCAATTCAAAATGGACAAAGAAAAACTCTTTTGCCTAGGAATTGATAACTGTCTTTACAGATGCACATAGAATGACTGTTTAGTCAAAGGTCAAGATTTTTCTGTTATTTTTTTCCCCCCACCTCCAGCAGACCATTGCCTCCAGAGAGACCATGCATTGGATCAGTCTTTCCAGGATAGCATTTACTGTCCTGACAAGATGACTAGCAGGTGACAGACTGTGGGACTGCCAGAATACACCACAGACTGGAATGTATTGCCACTACGAGCAAGAACAGTCAGTTCAGCTTTCTGTTTGTATCCATGATGTAAATCTGGAGTAGGATGATCCACTTGCCTATCAGTTTTTCACTTGTAGGATGAACATGATCATGCTAGACACAGTTGATATATAAATAATAAATATGTTAACATCACATTATCTATGTAATAAAGTAAGTAAATATTATGCAGGCGGCAAAAAGAAAACAGGAAAATCTCCTACACTTACAATTCTATACATCAGAAAAAGACGTACACAATTTGTTTCACTACTGACTCGTAAGAAAAAAAACAGCCAGATTATCACTTCACATTTCATGTCTTTCTGGAGACACTACAGAAGACATCTGCCTAAAACAATGTACTATTCAATTATCTGCATCATTATAAACATATATATTTAATCAGAATTCCCCAAAAGAACATATTTCATTAATACACTACAATTCCCACAAACACTTTAATGGAATACGAGACTAAGATTAAACACAGAAAGCAATGCTAAATTAATAGTAAACATTCATTTAACAGAAGTCTTAGTCTCCAAATTATTGATTTCTAGTAAAATGAAAAAAAATCAGAAACATTTATTTTCTATAAAATAAGTAACAACTTACTTATCAACACTAGCTAATTTGCATAGGGGGGAGGGGAATAAACTTTGATGAGGATATACTAATATAAATGTGAGTTCACTATTAAGGAAATAGGATAGAACTTTTCAAAGAGGATATAAGCTGGAAAATTGCAGCATTTCAACTTCTCACGTAGCTCTTCATGTAAAATAAGGTGAATAGAAAAAGACTAGCTCTCCACAGCCTTTATTTTCATATTTCTATAACAGAACTCCCAAATGTACTGACCTGTACTTCTGAATTCCTATTGTGATGTACAAGACCAATATGCTTATCTGTATGTTAACATTCATGCTGATGTCAAAATTCTACCCAATCTGTAGAAGTTTTCCCTACTGGTATTTAAAACATTAAATAAGCAACTTTTCAGATATGCACTGCTGTAAAATATGTAAAAATTCTTTTAGTAAAAACTCTTGTATGAAAAGATATTTATTATCTCTATATAGAGAGAGATTGGATACTGATAATTGTCCAAAACCTCTTTCCTCATGTGGCAGATACATATCTTCACTTTACATGAATTGACATATACAAGTATAAAGCAGAGATGTCTGTATCTATAGTAGTACACCTCACACACCACTGTCCATACTTAAGTGTCTATAAAAAGTGCAGGTTATGGTCCTATCTTTTGGTTCCTTGGAAAATTCTAACACATTCTCAATTTCTAGACATTCATTGAAAAATGGAGGAGAATTTGTGGTAAATACATTTAGTTAACACTTCTAAGGTAACAGTTACAGTTAAGTAATCTCTTTGCCACTTTCTATTATCCGTCTGTACACCTCAACATTGTGTTTGACTAGTCTACAACAAAGAAAAGCTAGAAGTTCTAAAATAGAGTTTGACTGAATCACTTATCCATATGTTCTGCTATATGCTCAGAAACTACTTGCTTGTATAAGAAGCAGGTCCGGATCAATGCCCTGAATGGTTCAAAGGAGATGCCTTTCTGTACTTTGCCATAACGACATATCATTAATGTCTTTGTTACAATCTTACTATTAATGTCTTAGTACCTGCTTCAGTCTTTCTTTGTTGGAGAGGTGCTCCAGCTCTCTGATCATCAAAACTTTCTGCGCCGCCCGGGAATCGAACCCGGGTCGCAAGAATGGGAATCTTGCATGATACCACTACACCAGCAGCGCAGTTGACAATAATGCTCCTGGCATTAATATCTAGGGATTTTTTCAAAAGAGAATTTTCTTGCAATTCTTAAAAATTCATTACATTTAGTTAGTTGATCCTGGACTGCAACAACTTAATGCTCAAGAGATTTGAACACAAGTGTTATTTTCAAAACTGATTGAAGTTTTTATCAGCCCTCAGAATGCAACACCAGTAATACTTCAGCGAACAGACTCCATCTAAAGATGATGCAAAGGAAAGGGGATTAACAAGCTGAAAGACTGGTGCACCATTAACTCCATGTAAAACAGTTGTGTATTTAACAGTTCTAGTTCACTACATATCCAGCATCCTAATATAAGACTTATCTTCCAACTTTCAAAAGAAATTGTAGGCAAAGATCAACATTTTCTACTTAGAAGTCATTATTTATCTGAAAAAGAAACTAATCATCATAGGCCTTAAACACGTGATTAGTTCAGCTTGACTACACATTGTATATTTGACCTGCATTTTCAACCTCATTTAAAACTAATCACCACAAACTGCAAAACAAATTCCATTCTAGGAACAGAAAATAAACCACATTGTGTATTCAGTGCGACAATCCTTAAAACATTTATGAACATTTAAAATGAAAGTGAAGATAACTCATTTCATACAATGACATGCTTTAAATCAGTTATGTGCAAACAATCTATAATAAGAACTGAATAAGTCATATTTCACTTCAGCCACACTTAATATGTTAGTCACCTAAAGTATGAGAGCTACTTTGAAATTAATGCCTTCTATTTTATGGTGTTAGCCCACAACATCAGAGGTGGAAATTGGTGGTATGGCAGTAGAGGTTGAACCTTCTCACCAATATTCCATTACATTTTATTTCCGTGCCACAGACAGCAGCAGAAGGACAGTCTGATAGAATGGCATCTGACATGAAAGTGGTTTGAAGCAAAAGTGTGTCTTTGAATTCCTTCATGCAGAAAAAATTGCACCCACTGACATTCATTAGCACTTGCTGAACAATTATGGAGACCAAACAGTGGATGTGGTACATTTCAGCAGTGGTGACAGCATGTCATCTCCACTTCTGCAAAATTTTACAAGTGCAGCATACAGGCTCCTTTTCATCGCTGGTAAAAATGCAGAGCTAACGGTGTTGACAGTGTTGAAAAAAAGTATTTTGTAGCTGAGAATTTGCACTATGAAATAGTGTGACTGTGCTCTTTGTATCTGATGTAGTTTTCATGGAAACAAATCGGAGGCATTGCTTTCAGAGTGACCTATGTAATTTTTACTGAATACATGCTGCAAATATTTCATCACAATCAACTGAATCCCTTGTGACTCGTACTCTAACCATTGATCCAGGAGGTTTCAATCCTTCATACAATCACAAGTTCTGTTAATTGAAAAACTAAAGACACCTACACTGAATCTGTCAATAAACATATTCATTTGTTAAAAGGTATATTGCACGAAATCAATTAAATAGGTGCCTTCTCCATATTTTCCCCAGGTATGAAGTGCTAGTGGCACTGATATGCAGTAGCATATGTAATTATAAAGACACAGCTGAAACACCTTAAAATTTAAGTTAGATATGTGATTTCAGATACATTTTAAAATGTGCATATGTTAGTCACTTTCATAAAATTTCTGGAGCATAACTTCAGTGTTTACAAATCACTGATATAAAGCAGATACAGGCTGGACTACAGTAAAGGCATGGATTTCTCATGTTTTGTAAGAATAAATTTATAGAAGTTGTATTGATTGATTTTCAGATATCTTAGTTGTCCTGCATCATTAAAATAATGGCTAACACCATCATCTCTAATGGAAGAAAAACCATAAAATAGATTTTAACAAGGCTAAAAACATCACTCAATCTTCCTAAGACTGAAAATTTTGATTACTAAAGAATTCTAATCTTAAATAAGCAAATCAATGTCTCTTTCTCAGGAAACTTGAAATATGTTAAACAAACTGTCTGCTGTTACACTCTACTAAACAATATTATAAGACTCCACAGACCTAATTAGAATCTAATTAGAATTAGAGAAATCTTGAGGAAATCAAATTATTTCAGAAGCTCAAGAGTTTGTATATGCTTATGGAGAAACTAGCTTATTGTACTTTTACAATTTGCATACTTTGTTTACTTCTTAAACCTAATAGTAAGGTTGAATCAATCTCTATTTAGTTTCGTAAAGAAAAACGTATTTAAAATAATTACATATATTTTCAAGATCAGGTAAACCAGAGCAATTAAAATTAAAATTCTCTATAAAATTTAAAAATTAAAGATAGAACTCACTTCTAATCATGAGTTTAAGAACATGAATATAATCTTTCTCATCCTCCCCATTTTACATCACATTGTGTGTTTATGGTAACAGGGACTAAATGTACGGCACAACTCAAATTCTTGAAAACAATGACATTTAAATAAATGACAAGAAACTTCGTATATCACATGTGCACCAGAAGCAAACAGTTACATCCTCTCCACTAATCAAAGATAAGTTTAACTCAATTTAAACAGGACTGCTAACTTCCAACTGAGAATCAGACTATCTGATAAGAGCAGCTGTTGGAACAGGCTTGACAAATGCTTTGTTAGTACATAAGTTTAGAAATTCACATCCTTGTTTCCTTGATGTCTCATTAAAATAATACAAAAAAAAAAAAACCCTCTATTTTCCTGTTGCTGCTTCTGTAGGTGAATGGCACTGGGAAGCAGATAAGAAGTACAAAGTGTTTTCTGTTAAGTTAATCAGAAAAAACAGATTTCTAACTTGCAGAAATGACAGTGACCCCTATCTGAGTCCTCTTCCATCTGTACTTTCACAGAGCAGGAAATAAGTACTAGAACATCATTCTGACATTCAAATGGCATGTTCTATGAGAAGAAATTTTAAGAGAGATTTTTCTGTGTGTTTGTATCCCATTAACTCCTGCCACCCAAGTAACTGGAATTCCTCAGGCACTACAAAACAAACAAACAAAAAACAGTGTGCTTCAAATAATCTATTGCCCAGTCAGAACACTAAGGCTGATGGGCTCTCCAGGGAGGTGGTACAGTCACCATCCCTGATTATGTTTAAAATCTATTTGGATGTGGTGCCCAGGGACATGATTTAGTGGAGGGTTGTTACAGTTAGGATAGTTTGGTTAGATTGTGGTTGTACTTGATGCTCTTGAAGATCTTTTCCAACCCGAGCAATTATATGATATTACGGGCAGTAGGAAACACATTCTGCTTGCCTTCTCCTTTACAGGAGCAGCCTAGGTTTTTTTTAAACCTGCTCAATAGGCAATTTTCAAACAGCATCTTGGAATTTATTTTGAGAATTCAATTTTTCCCAATGCAACTACAGGTATTACTTTTAATTTAAAGCAACAGAGAAGCTGACATTAGAATGGTAAGAATACAGCAAATGTAAAGAGTGTCTCCACACCTTACAAGAGTAATTGTTCTTTAAGTATTGGAAAGCTGCAAAAAAAAGGCTCCTCAAAGCTTTCTACAGGATAAACAACTCCAACTCCTTCAGTCTGGCTTTACAGAAGAGTTGTGCTAGCCCCCTGATCATTCTCTGGACTCAGTCCAACAGGTCTGTCTCTCTTTTGTGCTAGGAGCCCAAGAACTACACGCAGTACTTCAAGTGATGTTTCATGAGAACAAGCTAGAGGGAAAGAGTTTCCTCCTTTAGCTTGTTGTCCACACTTCATTTGATGCAGCCCAGGATACAATTGGATTTCCAGGCTGCAAGTGCATGTTGCTGGCTCATGTTGCATTTTTCCATCCATGAATACCTCCAGTATCTTTTTGCAGGCTGCTCTCAATCTATAAATCACTCAGACTATATTCATGTGTGACACTGCCCCAGCCAAAGAGGAGGACCTTTCTGAAATGTCTGTCAAGGACCCTCTGGACTGTCAACTGCACTATTCAGCCTGAAGCCTTCTGCACACTTTTGAAGGAAGGCTGCATTTAATCCATGTCATCAATGAAGATATTAAACAGTCTCAGCATTAACACAGATAGCTTGAGGGACACCGCTCATCAGTGGTCTCCACTCAGACACCGAATCAAAGGTCGCAACTCTTTGGATGTGGCCAACCAGACAATTCTTTATCCACCAAGTAGCCCATTCTTCAAACCAATGTTCCTCTAATTTAGATGAAAGGATGTTTTATGGGACTGTCAGATCACAGCATGGTTTGAGTTGAAAGAGAATTTTAAAGATCACCTAGTTCCAACCTTCTGTCAAAGGCAAGATCATCTTCCACTAGATCAGGTTGTTAGGCTCCTATTCAACCTGACCTCAAGTACTTCTAGGGATGGGACATCTACATCATCTATGAGCGATCAGTTCTAATATCTTTCCATCCTCATAGATCACGTGGGTTTATCAGTATTATTATTAGTATCATGCTTATTTATCATCATTATTACCCTGCATCTACTGCTGAAGAAAGGAGAAGTTACAATTTATTTTTGTTAATGTACTTCATTATCTCATAGAACAAGTTATTTCAGTTTGATTGAAATTAAACTTATACAAGTAACTCCATGAACTGCTATTCATGCTAACAGCAGATAAAAATCAGATCATCTTTTATTTGAACATGAGAAGAAAGCAAGTGATACAAATAATGAATTCATGTGCAACAGCAAATTCTTTGGTTTATTAAAAAGACAGGAGAGAAAGACTTCTGCAAGCTCAGATCACCTTTCAAACTTACTCATAGAATAAATTCTGTAGAGTATGACAGTCACTCAATTACACTTTAATCTGGCTTATAGCATACCTTAAGCATATGGGAAATGATTTACAAAGAAAACTCACCTCTATGTGCAATACAAGCTGTGCTTTCTCCTTGTCCTTATGCTCTATGCATCTCTTTAGCTCTTCTACCTCTGACATTGCTGTGTTGTGAGTCAGTTTTGCTTTAAGCTCCAAAATATGTTTCTCCAGTTCTTGCTTTTCTCTCTCATATCTTTCAGCTACTATAAAACAGTGGGAACAGAATAAAATGCCCAGTAGAAACATGGACTCGTAGAAAATTATTTTTCTCATTTTACTTCCAGCAATTTTCTATATGTGACTATTACAAGGCTATCGATGAATCTGTGAAAAATGGCTATAATTATATGATAACCTTCCACTGAATAAGACCAGTATTTCAGGGCTTATTGTTATCTAATCATTTTAGGGGGTGCCCCCACTCCTGACCCTTGGGGAGGGGAAAATAAAACAAAAAACAAGTAAAATAAAAACATTTCCCACAAGTTTCAAGGCAAAGATTTTAAACAACCTGAGTGTGAGTTCCACGACGGTATTGCTTTCTGTGAAATATGTCTCAGTGCTACAACTACAGGAGAAGTCCTCAACAAAAATAAGCTGTAGATATCCTAGGCCAAAATTTCAAAAGTCTTTAGAGGCAAAGAAAAATTTCAGTTTGCATATATATTCCAAGAAAAGGAAATAATTCAGTAAACAAAAATAATTGCTTAATTTTTCATTTCTTCTCCCTCTGTCTTATACATCCATTACATTTCCCTACATTTTCAAAGCACTTGTTATAATTATAAAACAAGTGAAGAAAAAAAAAAAGGGATTTCTTGAACATGAAAAGCATATATAAGTTCTCTTTTAAGCCCGTACACTAACACTGATGTAACTGAATAAAACCCACTAAAATGACAATCCTGTGTTACATGTACACAATTAATCATTTTGTAGTACCCTGTATGAGAGTTAGGAATCTAACTACCTGATTTACATTTCCATGATCAAGATAATTCAGTAGCTGAGATACGAAAACATAAAAAGTCATTAACCAAATTAAATTAGTATTTCCAAAACACTGGACTTGGAGTAGCTGTTCTTCTATGCTAAGTACCACATATCTTTGTTAATGAGGAGAAAGATAAAAGACATTCTCCAGTGCATTTTGATTACATTAGAAAAGTTTAAATACTGACAGTTATCTAACAAAACAGCGAAGGTTTCAATAAAGATATAATTTAATACACTCTTCCATGTTGAAATTGTTTAAAATATTTTTGTTCTAAATATCATGGTTTCATCCATAAAATTCTAAAAAACTGCAAGTAGAAGCCTTGACTGAATGACACTGGATTATAAGGATAATATTTCTAAATACTCTGGAATACGATGGTACTTCTTAAGAGCTTCTACCAAAAACTCAGAAGCCTTATTAGCCAGCTACAAAATGGACATCTGCTATGATTTTCAAGTTGACAGGTTTTGAACTGCAAATGTAATGAAATGTGAAATTTCAAAAAAGAAAAAAAAAAGCAGTATTTAGGAATGACATAAAAACACTATCCAATTTAATTCTTTCTAATAATCTTCATTTGTTTTAACCACGGAAATCAAGGTATTATATTCTAAATCGATATTTATTTATTAGAGTATTTATTAACTTGAAAGTGAGGATTTTATCAGTTGATTTAGTTGAAACAGCAGAGGAACCTCAGAGACAGAGTTAACATTCAGGCTGACTAACTAATTTGCAGGCATCTTGAGAGCTGTACCTGTTCTAATTCTCCTTTCATCTTCTCGCACATCCTGGGAGCTCTGATGGTGCATAACCACACTTGAAATCTGACGCTGCAAATCTGCACGATCTTCTTCTGCTCTCAAAAGTTGGGAACGAAGTTCTTCAATCTAAAACACGTATTGAAGTATCAGTCATTTGACAGAAAACAGAATAAAAGTGTAAATAATATACTTTTATTAAACTGTAACAAACATAAACAATAACTGTACACAATGTTTATAAATAAATCTCAATAGTTCTGCAGCTGGTAAACAAAAAAAGATAATTTAGTTCCTAGTTACAAGCCACAAAGTGTTTATTCAATCAAAATTAAAAGGATCATTTAAATCCGTTATAGTGACCATGGCTGAGCATTAATTTCTCCAGACTAAACAAAATAATATCATTTTATATGTTTTAATTGTCTTCTTACACTGAAAATATAAGGTTATTTGTTTTATGTAAATTCTACTCATTAAATATGCAATATGCCAATTCTTAAGAAACATACTAGCCTTTTACATTTTTTACTCTCTCTTATATACAGTTACAAATGTTTAGGTAAAAGAACTTTTCTTCTAATGCTATAATCATCCAGCTTCCTGCATCCTTAAGATTCTATCTTATCTGCATCAGTAGGCATTATACAGAACAAACTTCGGATCATTTTCAAGATGGTTTGCCTTCTTCTTTATTTTTTTTTCCCCATATGGTAGTACACTATACAGCAAATACTTCTATGCCACTGATGTACATGAAGTCATCCACTTTGCATAACAATAATCACTAATACAGAAGTTGTTCTAGAGCATACAATGAAGGGCAGTTACAAATGTGTTTGTGTACTTGAAAAGCACCATGGCTGCTATTACTGTTCTTATTAATATGTGAACATACATTCAAAAAGGTGTATACCTGTATTCAAATCTTTCTTTCTGAATCTCCTTCCTTCCTTTCCAAAAGAACATTATCAGAATATGAGATAGGATTAATCAGAAAGACTGAAATAGCCAAATATGAACTTCATTATTTCCATCACACCAAAGCAGTTACCTGATGCAAAAGAGCTTCTCTATTGCTTTCTGATTGATTCAGCTTTTTCTGGGACTTCTCCAATTCTTGCTCAAGCTTACAGAAAATGATGAAGAAAGAAAAGGCATGTGTGCATCACAGTACAGAAGTTCTATTTAACTAGTTAATTCTGGCACAAATTAATTGGTACAAATTATAATTTAAAATAAAGTATAATATATAACACATTTTTATTCATCCAAATCTTTAACACAAATTTTCATTTGTATTAAATCCCAGATATATTTAAATCATTAAAAGAATTTTTAACTTATAGTCTATGTTTTTTTTTTGCATACTTATCTACATAACATGAAGATGGTATATAAACTCCAAAACAAACAAACAAAAAGGAAGAAAATAAACAAAGAAGCATAAAAGTAACTTTTCACAGGGCTATAACTAAAACAAAAGAAAAAAACTAATATTAAAAGAAGTTTTAAAAACATGCCAGGATTTGTGGCATACTTTTAAACTCAGAAAATAAGATGACAACATTTGAATCTTTGCCACATAATTTATCCATAAAAATGTTAAAGATGACAATTTGTACAACTGGTAGTTGATAAATTCTGTGCTTCTCTGCACTGTGTTCAAAGTTATATTTCAGTTTTCATTTTTCTGGAAACAAGATGACTGAAAAACTGAAGAGCCTGGACTTTCGTACAATTAGAATTTTCCCTAAAATACTGTGTCAAGGAAACGTAAGAATGTGTAATCAGAGGTAGTCAGCAAACTGATTACCATTCCAAAGCCAGAAAACAAAAACTATGAAATATTTTGTGAACTCTTGTCAAAAATAACTCAAAGATTGAAAAGATGCACGTGGAAATAAAAATAGTTTTTCAAAGCAGGAATTGTTTTTGTAGACATAATATCCCTTTTGTGAATGCTAAGGAGGCTGGCAAATGGGCAAAGTAAACAGGACGAGTATTAATGAAATTAAAAGAATCAGAGAATATAAAATACTACATTGATTGTCTTGTGTAAAGGTTTAGCATAGACATGGAAATTATTGACAGAAAGTTTAAAGTTTATATAAGAGGAAGAAAAAGCCAGCAAAAATATAATAGGACCCTTGCAACCTGCAAGAAAAGGAAATAAGCAATTTTGTTTTCTACAGACAGTAAAAAGGAAACAAAAAAATTGTTCAGAAAGAAAAATATTAATAATCACTAGTTTGCAAAATAATGAAACAAGCATTAATTGCTGAGATGAAGAAAAGTCACATCGTAGAGCTGCTGAAAATATTTGAGAGGTAACTACATCTATTTCACTCTATTCAGAGACAAATCAAAAAAAGAAATCAAGGATAATCTACAAGCTTGTCTGTCTGGCAAGATGGAGCACTTGTAAAAGAAACAGACTGTAACTAAAGAGTTTAGTAAGAAAGACATAAGTTTAGTGTAGTTGCATTCTGTATGTCCGATATAAAAAAGCAAACAAGAAAAACCCCACTTAAAGAGTAAAGAAAGGTTTATCCTGCTGGTTTCTCTGAAGGACGAAGAATATACTACAACATATGACATTATGCAGTCACTTAAACCAAAGAAGAATAAAAGCAAGGCTTACTTGTTTCTTTTCACTTTCATATTTCACAACTTTATTTTTCACAAGTTCTTCTGTTTCCATTGCTTTTGCATTCTGCTTCTTTAAAGCCTTAAAAATTGAAAAAAGTATTGTGAACTTCATTTAAAAAGTTAGAAGTCTTCCTTTCAAGTATATTAAAATGAAGCAATCAGCCTTACATTTAAGAAAATAGCTAAATGAGTGCTTTCTGACTGTGTCTAAAATTTCCAGGTGAAGTCAATGCCTATTGTCATGAAAAATAACCAAAAAAAGCTCATGCATACATAAACATACTGGGCCACATACAATGTTACAACTAGCATTAACATCCTGTCTGATCTATAGATCTGCAGATGCACAAGACTCACCCCAAACACTATGAAATGAAGGACTAAGAATTTGAAGAGATCCCCTATAGGTAAGTTGTAAAAACATCAGATGAGGAGAATATATTCTCCAGTACAGAATATGCGATTACATGACATATGATGCATAGCAGTGAGGAAGACCCTTCTATAAAGTTTGAATTCTAACAGATGTTTAGAATTGTAGTGTTAAAGCAGGATTAACTGAATCATTCCTGATCTAAAGCTCGTTATGCTTTACTTCAAAAATAAATAGACAAACCATACAGACTTTTCCTGTCCCACTCCAAACTGAGTGTGTAAAACCGCCAACGTACATTTCATAAAGCATCTTATGAAAATAAAACTGCTTTGATTATTAATTTTCAAATATTGTCCTTCTATAAACCAACACTATTTACAAAATGTAGCTAAGTACTGGCAAATAAATGCAACAGACATCACAAGAGATTTGTAACACAAAAAAAAACCAAACTTGAGTATTGCAAGCCATAACAAACTCATCCACTTCATTTGCTGTGAATTTGACTAATCGCATCAAAAACTCATTTCTTTGCTATAAAACATGACCAAGCAGTTTCCAGGCTAGCTACAAAATCAATTCATTGGAGATCTTAGCACACTTTTTATTTTGATCCAATATTACAAAATGTAAATACATCTATAGCCTGCCCAGAACAAAAAGCTTTTTTTCTAATCTGTTCTTTCTAAATATTTATTTTACATCATAAAGGAATATCTCCTTAAACAAATATCCCTAAAACTGATTCCTGTCATTAGTGCAATTGCATGCAATTTTGAACATTTTCTGCTTGCTGGGGAAAAGTTTGCACTTTGTTAAAAATTCAACTGTAGAAGCTTTATTTTTATAAGTAGTTTTGTAGAGAAATAAATGGATGTCTATATTTCTCTTAACCTTATATCCTCATCTCATAAAATGTATGGGTTTCAGTATATTTTGGCTTCCTCTCCTGCTTGAACAGTTTATACTAAAAAATTAGATTGTGGAAGATATTTATTATGTCACTGAAAATGTTATGCTACATTAAGAATTAGGGTTTCATTTTACTGATTCATAATCAGATACATCACAATCTTGCAGTATCTAAGGTATTTTTCTAACTATTCAGTACGTATTGAAATCAGTCTTTATGAGTTACCAATGTAACTCTAAGTTGCATTCAAATCTGTCACTTTCCCACTTTGGTCAAAAGGATTCTGGGAAGAACTCCCTAAAAGCTATAGCATAGGGAAAAAAAACAAGCCTAAGATTCAGCTAATGTTATTACTGTACGTCAAGTGGTGGTTGTTTTATTTTTAAGTGATACATACTAGTTGCAATTCTGCTTCATTTTTCTAGCAAAATTAGAAGCACTGCTATATACAGCCAACTGTTTGCCAGTCTTATTTTTTGCAGTAATTAATTGTAAAAATATACACTTCTTCATGTGCTGATTTTGCTAGGAAAGTCAGCATATAAAGATAATAAAATTCAGTTTAAGGAAAACTAAATTATAGTTCAGTAAAAGCTGAGCTGGAATTAGAAATCCTAGGAAAGCTTTTCAAGATGCCCCTGTAAAAGGCAAAAGTAGATTACTGCATCACTAGTACATCCAAATTCACAGAAGAACCACAGAAATCAATATGTCATTTCAATGTACCAGAATCATTGTATGATATTTAGACTATTAAACAGCAATAATGTCAAACAAAAAGGCAGTCTTTCATATCACTGATATTACAAATACAATGTTTGCTTTTATTTTCTGCATATTGTTTTTTAAAAAAAAAATTACCCATAATCATTTTATTATTAAGAAAAAACACTTCAAATATGTCAAAGTTAAAGTACTATAAAAAGAATGTGATGGTACAATAAAATAAAACACACCTCACGTGCACTGCTTCAGCTGTGAAACACGGGTTTCTTCAGTAGGTACCAGACAGACCATGACTTAAGCAATTAGAATGTCATTAAGAAACAGAAATATTTGGTCATCCACAACCAGTAGCTCTTACTAATGACTCAGAAACTATGTAGGTAAAAGAAAGCTCTATGCTATCTATTGCCCTCCTTCCTAATTATCTCTTACTGGCTTACGCCACTCTTGTTCTCCTCCATTGAAGATTTCTCTGCAAAAGGTTTAGCTTGGGAAATGAAGGCTTACATAAAAGTGTAAAAAACACCATATAAAGAGCCAACAACTTTTTTTTTTTTTAATTTCATTTCACAGAGTCATTAAGGTTGGAAAAGACCTCTAAGACCATCTATTCCAACCACCAATCCATCCCCACTATGCCATGTGCCTCAGTACCGTGTCTACACATTTCTTGAACATCACCAGGGACAGCGACCCTACCACCTCCCAGGACAGCCTGTTCCAATACTTGACAACTCTCTCAGAGAATACATTATTTATAACACCCAAACTGAATCTCCTCTGGCACAACTTACTTCTTGTCCTATCACTAGTTACCCGAGAGAAAAGGCCTACCCCCATCTCTCCACTATTTACTTTTAGGTACTTTTAGAGAGCAATAAAGTCTCCTCTGAACCTCCTTTTTTCCTTCTTTGTTGTCTCCAAAGAAGGAAATGGGGGAACGAAAGGGTCAAAAATAATAAGTAGGAAGTGGATGCTGAATACAGCAATTCCAATACACTCTTTCCTGACAGTTTCCTAAAAGCAGGCAAGCGTGGTCCAGGGAACTTAGCAAAGCAGCACTGATGTCCCAAGGAATGGAAATAAGTCTGCAGTCATTAGAATTCCCCCAACAATATCCTTTTTTTTAAAGGGATCAATGTCTAGGCTGGCCAGTATATAGCTAGCAAGGAGGTTGTGTAAATTTGTTAGGCCCTGGAGGGAGCCACAAGGAAGCAGAGAAAGGTGTAAAGACACCTTTGTAACTGGTGTTTGATGGTTTCAGGATGGACCATTTAGATGTTCTGCAGTCTGCTCAGTCAGAAACAGGCTATCATTTCTGATAGGCTAGATGAACTTCTGAATTAACTCAAGGGAGCAATTCTTATAGGTTTGTTTTCTTTTTAAATAGACTTTACTGTCATGAGATAGTACTAGAATATCAACATACATCATATAACTCCACTCACTGTACTTCATCCATAGTGCACTAAAATCCACAATATTAATAAGAAAATCATTTACTTGCTACTATAAGTATAGTATATAAGAAAGTATAGGGAAAAAGTACAAGAACTGTGGTGACAGAGGTCTCAGCAATCTTTTCCAACTTAGAAGAAAATCTTTGAGATATGATTTCTATTTAAAGTCTTTTTTCTTTTTCTTTTTTTTTTTTTTTTAACTTTTCTTCCAAATAAAAATAGATTTGAAACTAGCACACAGACCACAAATTGAAATTGGCTCTTCCAAAATGAAACTGAACAGTGAAATAAAGTCATATTAGACTAAATATGCAAGCAGACCAGCTTCATGCTTTATTTAAAAAGTACTTAATCTGAATGAATTTTTTTCTTAAACCTGCCACATTAGGAGCTAGCACTGGTCCAAGTATTTTACTATTTCTTTAAACATCTTGCCTAGCTATTTCAGTGACATTCATATGAGACCTGCTCATGTTCCAAGGCAGAGAAGCGAGACAGATTCAAAATGCAATCAAAGCAGAAATTACTAGCCACAAGTGGCATACCATAGAGCCAAGGGGCAAATATCAGTGACATATTAAAACATCCAGATGCGTCAGAGTACAGATAAAGATTATGTTTTTCTAAAAGGATCATAAAGAAGGACATATAAAAACAGAACATTCAACATTTTTGACCATCACTCTACCCATCCTCTATTTAAAGTCCACCAGCCTCCTGCACTTCACAGTACATGCAGTAAGATGTACCCATAGTCATTACCTTAATACAATCAGTGCATTCAAAACATTCTATTAAGATGATTCTGTACACCTAAAGTGAACAATGCACGCTCCTTGGGTCCTGAAGGAATTGGTTGATGCAGTTGCCAAGCCACCCTCCATCACATTTAAAAGTTTTGCTCATCAGGAAAAGTGCCTGGTAAGTGGAAAAAGGGAAACATTTTCATTCTTAAGAAAGGGAGATACAATAGAGGAAGAGATGCCATCCAGAAGGATCTAGAGAGACTTGAAAAGTGAACCCATGAGAACCTAATGAGATTCTACAAGGCCAAGTGCAAGCAGTTGCACTTGGGTGGAGACAATCACAGATTATTTTTTTTTTTCTTTTTTGAGAGCAGACCTCACAGAGAAAGACTTGGTGGCTCTGATGGACAAAAAGCTGGACAACAAGACAGCAGCATGCACTCAGCCCAGAAGGCCAACTGCATGCTGGGCTGTATCAAAAGGTTGGTGACCAGCAGGTAGAGGGAGGGGATTATATGTCCTCACGAAGCCACATTTGGAGTACTACTACAACGAGGCCACCAGCACAAGAAAGATGTGGAGCTGTTGGAGCAGGTCAAAAGGAGGTCTGTGAAAATGATCAGAGGGCTGGAGAATCTCTCCTGCAAAACAGGATGTGGGAGCTGGGCTTGTTCAGCTTGGAGAAGAGAAAGCCCTGGGGAGACTTCATTGCTAACTTGCAGTAGTTGATGAAAGCTTATAAGCAGGAGGGAGATTGACTTTTTACACAGGCAAAGGGGAATGTTTTTAAACTAAAAGTAGGGAGATTTAGGTTAGAAGAAAATTCTCTCCTCAAAGGGTGGAATAGGTTGTGGAGAAGACGTGGCTGCCCCATCCCTAAAAGCAGTCAAGGCCAGGTTGAATGGTCACCCTGATCTAGTAGGTAGCAACCAGATGATGTGGAACCAGATGATCGTTAAGGTCTCTTCCAACCTTAGCCATTCTTTGATTCTATGAATTTCATCAAAATGATTCTCATTTCATCAAAATTCATAAAGACAGGCAGAAGAACTAGCAAAGTCATCCAGGATAGCCATTACATATAAAAGTTGTTTTAAAACTATTTTTAAGAAGAACATTTGATCTTGCTTTAGAAAAATGGAGGTATATATGCAAACAAGTGTTATTAAGTGGATGGTGCTTTCACATTCAAAACAAAGTAATAAAGAATCTCAAAATAATTTTAATTTAGACAAAAATGCATTTTGGTAAAGGAACCTATATATACATGCCAGCAGCACTGACAAAATGAACACACTTGATATTGTTTCTAATTTGAAACAAGTTTGTATCACAGATAGAAGAAAGTGAAGATGGATGACTCACACTAATTTCAGGTTTTATTTATAAACACTGCTTAAGCAGACCTCGAATACACACCAACTCAAGAAATATTACCAAGCACAGAGTCAAAAAAATGCAAACTTAAAGATGTAAAATTTTATATTTGAAGTTTTCTTTATAGCCAGCATATAACCAGATATATTCTTCATTAATAATCAGTTCATGGTGCTAACAATGAAATACAAATAAAGTATGATGATCATAAAAAATGCAGACAAAGAGAAGACAAATGGAGAAAAAGAAACAACAAAGTGTCATCACGTTCAGTTAAGCTTTGAAAATATGTAATGAAATAATTTAGATTTAGGAAGATGCCCATCTTAAGATGGTAAAATACTGACAAGCAGTGGTGAGTTATGGGCATTGCACTTTTCCTTACAGATCACTTCTAACATTTAAACCCCATCAGAATTTTTAATTAAAAAGTACTGCTGATCAAATCTAAAAGTTAAATTTGATTGTTTAGTTTGAGATGCACAGCAAGCAAAATATTGAAAAAAACTGTCTCACCAAATTGCCACAAATTGCTTTAAATAGTATTTACTTGTAAATTATCCATTCCATATTGAATGATCGCATTTTAGATCTCAGTCCAAACCTTATCCCCTTCCAGTAGTGTTACTTGTAAAGCATGTTGGATTAAGAAAAAAAGATAAAAAGAGACTTCAGAGCATTAAATCCATGCAATGGTCACCACAAGACCAGAGTTTTGCAAAGACTGCCTACTTCAAATATAGGATGTAAAAGAATTCATGACAAACTGTGTAAACTGAAACATTTATCTAAGACGTTCACTCAAAGACTTAAATGAATGACAAACAATTTTTCTATACTGTAGAAAAATAAATATCTAAGCAAAATACAATTACATCAATGCAAATAATGAACAAATGAACAAAAAGACAACTAGTACTCAGCTCACAGATACATTGTTGAAATGACAATCATGTAAGACTGTTCATAAATTTTAAATGTTTCACAAAGGTTTCATTATTCATTTTATTTGATTTACCCAATAAAAATCTATTTCTCTCTATCACCCCATACAAGAGAAAAACAAAGTGAAAAAATACCAGTTCAAGAACTCAAATTCTTAGATTGTTTTGGTGCTGGTCTTCTCCTTGTTTTCAATTCAAGACAAGATCATTTCTAGAATTTTTACCTCCTTAGACATTTCTATATTCCTATTTCCTGTATAATGTATATTCTATAAGATAGAAAATATTATTCCTCAAAAAATATTCTCATACAACAGCTTCTCAGGCTAGTATTACACTGAGAATTGTATTGTACAGAGTATTACAACACGTACAGAGTTCATACTATTTTGTTCTTAATAAGAGAACAGTTCCAAAGTTAAGGCCCAACCTGGTCCAATTTGCCAGTGTGTGAGCTGAAGAGCTCAACCAACTATTTAACTGTTCCTAAGAAATATAAACACTATCCAGAATTGAGATAATTTTCTACTTGGAGGTTGAACATAACAGCCTTGATATAAGTAGCAAGAAGAAATACTGTTCTACTACTACTGGGAGTATAATGGTAGTCTTTGTTTCAAAGTCTAAACTGCCTCCATTTTCTTCTGCAATCCATCAAAGATTCAAGAGTCTTCCTTTCGTACTTGCCACCAGATCCTATTTCTCATACTAAAGGTTAGAAGAGCCTGAAAAAAAAATAAAATCCTCCATTCATTGCAAAATCAGTAATCTGATTTTTACTAGGATTCCCAAACAGTATGCCCAGTCAAAGAAATCCAGAAGCCATGATGGAAAAAAAAAAAAAAAAACCACCCAGAAGGAAGATCCAGAGATACAAGCCCCTTCCTGAGAGAGTGAAGACATTCACCAAGAATGAGACTCACCTCAGAAGAGTTGCAATTATGAAATACTGGGTGGGGAATAAGTCTGTTCTAGTCAGGACTGGCTCTGAATCTTGGGTTGGGCTAACCTCTAATAGTGAAAATTTACCAAGCAAACTAATAGGTGCTGAACTTCCCTTTTAGCTTCACAAATCTTAGGGTCTGAATACTGAATTTTTGAGCAATTGTATCAGAAAATCTTGTTTAAACAGGAAGGGGCTCCTTGGGAAAAACAATTTATTAAAAAAATATGCAGAGAACAAAATAGAATTTGCAGAAAAGATTAAAACATTTTCACATGCAGCTGGAAAGCTTAAGGGAATGGAAGGTTAGGGCAACCACTTAGCATTTAATATTCATTTTGCACAGAACACAAAAGATGAGCTATTTGAAAGAAATGTATCTAGCTTGAAGGCTTATGATTCACACTGCCAATCACGTGAAACTCTTTGAAATACATTTGAATTCATTCACTTGAAAACAGATTTTCCTTGCAAGGAAATAATCACAGTATCAATATATCTTTATAGATAAAAGTCATTAGTCCTTTAAAAGCATAAAGGAAGATTTTTCCAATTAACAGATAACACTATCAGGTAACAGCAACTCCTCTCATAACGCATGCTGCTACCCAGATTGAAGGCCCAATCAAAAAAAAAAAGTAATAGACATAGGCATATTGAAGATTAAAATCCCTATGAAGTACTGCATCTTCTGAAAACTGTAATAAAGCACACTCATTCATATAGAAATTCATTTCACCCACTCAGATATCAATAGGGAAAAAAGCGATGCATTGATTCTGAAATATTAGTAGAAATACTAAAAACATCTTTATTAGTATTTTAATTCATATTTTAAAAAGTATGTTGTCTTCTTAAATATGACCTCTTTGAAGAGTCTCTAGCCTCATATGAAATATAAAGCACAGGTCTACCTTAAGGCTCCTCAATATCACGGCACAGCATAAAACTGCCTTCCAAAAAAGCACATATACCATTGTTAAAAATAAAAACATCAGAATTATGGATTTCTTCTCAACTACACCTTTCTATTTCATTGTCAGAGATGACATTGTAAATAATATCTTAAGGGCTGGAACAAGATGATCTTAACGGTCTCTTCCAACCTAAGCCAGTCAATGATTCTATGAACATTAAATAATTACAGTATGTTGAGATTCACACATTTTCCAAATAGCACTATAAGCAGAAACAGAGGTATACTTGTCTTACATTTCTTAAAGTAAGCACAAAAGGATATTATATTACAAATTAAAATTACGGAAATGTATTAACATTTTTGTCTATTAAACAATGTTTTATACTTCATCAGATATTTGCTTTGACCTAAACTGTTTGAAAAGCACTGAAAAGCCAGTGCAGTGTATTTGATTGCTTGTTGAAATAAAATAAGCCACTCAGTACAAGCAACATTTGCATTTTTAAAACACAAAACATTCTAATTGAAAACACTCAGCAGATGGCTTACTTTTTGGGGGGGGGGGGGATTTGAGGGGAATATTGTGGGGAAGAAGGTTGCTTTTCTTTTAATGAATGTTTGTGCAAGCTACCAAAAAAGGTCTAAATCTAGGCAAAACAGTACCATGAGTATCACAGACTGTACTTATTAACATCTGGTCATCAAATCAAAAGGAAGCAGGCCCGATACAGTTAAGAGAATACGTCATAAATATGAGCACTTCCGCCAGTTTGACAGACACAGGGTCATAAAGACAGCAAGATCTCAATTTGATCCTGAGTATCAGGAGTTTTCATTTGATCTTGAGTATGGAGAAAGTTTTCATTTGTATACCTCTTGTAATTGAACAGACATCTGTCCCAGTTGGTCCTGGCGCCTTTCTACAAGCTGTCTTTCAGCACGCATTTCTTGTTCTATCTCCTGAAGTCTTCTCTCTACACGTGCTGATACCTTCAAAAGGAAGAAAAAAAACCTGCAGGAAATTAGGGTGTATTTTAACCACATACTGAGATAACAATAGAGAAAATGGTAAAGAAAGTATGGGGCAGAAAGAAAGGGAAATATCAATCAAGATTTAGAACGGTATAGCGAATAATCAGTTATAGCACTGAGTACTCAAGATTGCTGTCTTGCTAGAAATACCCTCCTCGTTTATTTACATTACTTTTCTGCACAGTGGTAGTTCTAATAAAGCACTAAATCTGTCAGTATCAAGCTTGGTACCACCTAAGCTGAGGCCACAATACATAAATTTTAGTTTCTCTGCTGCCACAGGCCTAATCTCTAGAGAGTCAATGCCTTCACATCTCCTGTATGTAAAACAAACCAAAAAAATTGCTTCATTTTCAGAAACTCATGAGTGACAAGCAGTAAAGATATAAGTACAGGAAAATAATTGTGCAGTAGCACAAAATATTTACATAACTTTAAGAATTTTTCCCAATATTTTATCAATTCACATACAAATAAAGTCTGTCTTTTGTAAAAGCAATCTGTACTAACACAGTAATTCAACCTTAAGCTACAATCCTTACCTCACATTATTTTTGCTTTTCAAGCTGCTAGCAGACAGCACCCTCTTGTGGGCAGCAAATTAAATTTATATCATTTAAGCTGAAGATTAGTAAGGAAAATAATTATGTTTCCTCCCTACTTCAAAATTAATGATTTTTAAGAGTCACTAGAAAGCAGTTCAATTACCAAATGATACTCAAATAAAAAAAGATTTAAAACACCATTCAACTACAACTTCTGATATATAGACACATAGACACATACATACACACACACACACACAAGGAATGAACAAATTCTCACTAAGCATGCTTCTACTAATATTATGCATGTGTATGGATAGAAAATTTTAAGAACACAGTTACATAGCAAAAGTAACAATTAATGACATGCTTATGCCCTGATCTTCACAAGTATTATAAAAAAATAATACAGTCTTCATATCTTCACAAAAGGAATGTGTCAGTTAGAGATGGTTCCTTGTTTGTACAGCAAGATGAGCTATCAGTTCACAATTAATGGCAATTGTGAGAGTATTCATACACAACTGTAAGAGAGAGCTTAAAAAACTGTTCTAGGAATATTCAAAAGAGAAAATATTGAAAATTGAGAAAATAGACTGATTATTTTTCCAGAAATTGATTGGTAAATATGTAAGAGCAAAGAAGCTTCAGCAGCAACTTTAACATCATTTCAGACAGTTAAGTATCTCAGCTGATCTGTATGAGGTTGTTTCAAAATATTTTAGTTTTTACTTTCCACCTTAAGTAAATTGAGAGCTTCTCATTATAAGTGTACTCCTGCACTTCCTATATTTTGTTGGGGTTTTTTTGTTTTTTTTTTTTAAGATAATTTGCATGCACTACTTTCGGATATTTGTCCAACTCATTTCCTCCATATACTGGAACTTTTTCTGCGCATGATGTTATTTCATATATATAAAATTTGCAATATCACAAGCTATCCCAAGTAGGTAGGTTGCTCTAAAAGTAATGCCTCTTATTTACTGCCATGGAAATGACAATAGATAGAAACACCACAATAACGCTATTTGATAGAGAAAATTCTCAATTACAAATCACCATTTTTCACTATAGTCCAATCGTCAACTTACGCTGTCTGGTGCCCATTTGAGTATTTCAGATATTAAAAGCCATGCATGGGACTTGATTTATAACAAATGTCCTCTCTTCTGGTACTGTTTTTTATTCACCACACAAAGTACGTATTACACCAGCTAAAAATGTAGTTCCTCCAAAATGACAGTTACCCAATCTACACTAGCGTACACATAAGAATTGTGTTTCCTGGTTTTGCAGCCTTTTTGATCTTCCTTAGTTTATCACAGAACGCATGACATGCAATAATAGGACTAAAGACAGAACAAAGATTAGAGCCATTAAGAAAGCAAGCAGTAAGCAGCACACAAAGAAGAGACTAAAATTCAATTATATTCTTTTATCCCAGATGACCCTAATTCAAGACAACATTCCTACCATAACAGTATGTATCTTCTAGATCAAAAGCCTCAGCGTAGACAAGTGATTCACAGAAGAACAGTACAAGGAACATGGAGCTTCTACATAATAACATGAAATGCTAAACTAAATTATTATATTCGCCATATATAATAACATGATTTAAAGATGCCTTTTCAGCACCACAGACTAACTGAACAATACTCATGATGCTAAGTGCTCCGCCTCTGTGCTAGGGAGCAAATATCTCTAAAAATGGATTTAACTACTAAGAAGCCTCCCCTACCATCGCCAACCAAGCACAAAGTAAAGAACATTCCATTTAAAACCAGGGTGGCAATGCCCGTCCAAGAAAATGATGTCTCCGCAGTCAACTGCGGCATTATTGTTTTCATTAGAAGTGCATCATTAAACATTTCAGCTTTCATAGCTTTATCTGGGAGAGAAACTATCATCCTTGAAAAAGAATTACTCTTCTTTTTCTATTCTCCTTATAATTAAAAAAAAACTAAAGAGAGCTCCCTTGTTATACTATACATCTCTCACTCTTTGCTTCACTCAGATAAAATCTGTGACATCCGATTTCTAGTCTTGAAAACTTGCTATAGTAGGTCTTTTCAAAAATGAAAAGACAGTGGCTGCCAGAATTCCAGAAGATTGAAAAAGAAGGTTAGTTATTCTCATTCAAAGAACAGCTGTACTCTGGTCAGCTGCAGCAGCCATTTTCTTGCAAATTGTCCTGTTTAAAACTTTAGAGCTTGTTAATTTCCTGTGACATTAGAGAGGGGAAAAATAGTATACTGAGAAGCAGACCACAGCAAAAATAGTCTTGCAAGTATCTAAGAATTCTCTACCAGATAAAAAGAGCTAACATTCTAACAAGGACACCCTGCTAAATTCTTCTCGGAAGGCTGAAGAGGCAAGTCTTCCTCTGCTGATTAATTCCATCATATTAAGTGGTATTGATAGATTATAGTCTCTTGAATATCTTTCCCCTTTTTCATCTGCACAAGTACAATCATTAAGCCTGTTGATGCCAAGAAGTTGCTGTTGCCTACAGTATTGATATCAATGACAAATACATAACTAAAGACCTTGCCAGATCATTTAGTACTAATTCATGCAATTTTAGAGCAAGATAAGCCATCTAGAAGAAAATAAGTACACTCAACACAACACTTGGTCCGAAAAGTTAGTATTGCTTTTTTGTGCATGCTAATGTGATATCAGAAGCATAGACTCAAGTCTGAGTCTGGAACTACCTTTTCCTAACTAGCGGAGTTCTCATCTTCTCTCATGCCTGCAGCAATACTCTGCTTTGACTTCCAACTCAAAAGATTAGAATTAGTCTCCTTCCAGCAGATAGAAGAGGTAAAAAAAAGAAGACACAATCACAGCTGCACTGTCTCCTTTGCTACATTTGCCACAATGCCTTCAGAGAAGATCATGCTTCCAAGAGATTTATTCATTTCAGAAGACTGCACAGACGATAAGGATTGAAAAGGATAGGGAGGGGGGAAGGAAGAGGAAAAAGAAACCTCAGATTTCATGGTTGTAATAGGAGCTTCTTTAACGTGGAAAAATCTAATTTCTATCTCTCAAAAGGTATCTATTACACTTACAGAAATGTTCAAAACAATGATCAAACAGCAGCTTTCGCCAAAACTGATTTTTTAAACAAATTCACTGCACACCCACCTGTAAAACATTCGCTTTTACTTTACACAAGTAGCCAAGATAAAAGCACTTGTTCTGCTGATTTTATTAAAGATAATATTACAACAGAAAGAATCCTGTTCAGATATACATACTAATACACGTTGCTGAGTACCAAAGTAAACAGTAGCCCATATCTCACTTAGAATATTAAATATACATGATCTTTTCTCGTTAGGCACACTCACCGTTTCTTGTTTTTGGGACTCCAAGAGCTTTTCAGACAATGCCGCTAGAGTCTCTCTCATTTCTGCATCAGCCCTTCACAGAAAAATACAGGTATGCCTTAATACTTTGCAGTGCAAAAACTAAGGATCAACTGGGTGAATTTTAAGCAGCAATAATCTTGTGGACTTTTAGGCTACCTGAATTCGTTCTACAGCTTCTAAATTCCTAGCATAAATGGAGGACCAGCCTCAATGGTCTCCAATGGAAAATCTGTAATAGAAAGAATTTCCATTTCTCTAGTGAAGCAACTAATAATGATTCCATCTAGTTTGAAATGCTAGATATCAGGTCAACAAGTATAAAATTATGAACACATCAACACAGTCCTTTTGAACAGGACTAGTTCTTACTGAGAAGAAGAGTACTAATTCCTGTTATTGTTATTAGAAAAAGCATCATACGTTGATACAGCATGTACTGAAATAGCCAAAACATTATGGCCTGAATGAGCGCTTGTCCTCACGAAACTCCAGTATCAAGAACATAAAAGGAAAGTTTTACTAACAGAAATTCCCAAACCCTTTTCTTTTTCTCTACATATAAAAAAGGGAATGAATCCACATATTTTATGCAAATCAGAACTTGTACTTGCTATTTACACTTAGAAATACTGCACAAGAGGATATGTAACAAGCCATTCATAGTACTAGTTGTACAGATGTATTGGTACAATGTACAGATGAGTAATTTATTATTTAGAAGTGCAAAAACTATTTTTACCACTGTTCTTCACATGCAAGTTATATGCTCTATACCTATCTCTTCTTGAAAGCTCCCGACTGATGTCATCTCCGAGACGAACTTGTTCACTACTGATATCGCGAAGAGACTGGTGGAAAGAATGCAGCTGTAAATTAAAGTACATAAATTAAGCCAAGGCTTAAGAATGCTTTTATCTACAGTATTTCAAAAGTACATCTACACAATCTTTTAAAAAGAAAATATTAAATAGAAAGCAGCAGATAAAAATAATGTCTGAAAAGCTTACATGAACTGCAGATCAGCCTGGATGTAGCTACTGTGCTTCTGTTTCTATCAATCCTTCACAACACTTGCTCATTCACATTTGATTTTCAGTTCATTATTTGCTAAACAAAGGTTCCCAACCATGTTTTTTTCTATGTTTTCATTTTAATTATCTGACATTGCATCATCTTTTTAACTTAATGCAAGGCAAATTGAAAGACCTGAACAGTTAAAGTCAGGACAAACATTTCCTGTTCATAAATGCTAGTACAAACAAGAAAAAGTTCTGCCCAGCTATATGTACTACTAAAAGCTAAAGAAAGATAGCATATAAAACTGCAAGTGACCAAACAAAATACTGTGATGTTTTCAGAAACTAGAATGTACAGACATTTTCACCACTTTTGATATCACACCATCCACTTTAAAATCTATGAATTCAGAATTTTATGAAACTTATTACACTGACGGTTACAAGATTACCGTCTAATAAAAAATTGCACAGAATGCTGAAAGAATATTTCATTGCTGAAACTTAGCTTCCTTAGCTTCACCATCAAAATAACTTTATTTGATGTAAAAATTGAAGTCCTTGATAGCCGCATACTGTCTGCTTGGGGAAAGAACTCTCATTAGTACCTGATTCAAATTATCAGTCTCATTGACAAATCGAACGCTTGCAGATCTAGACCTTCGATGTCTATTGCCCTGTGAGTCTCCATAATCCCTGAGAGGAGAAGTAGGTACAAAGTGGTTGATCCCTTTATGTGATAAAACATGAGGAAAAAAAGAAAAGACATTTTTATTTTTATTTTTTTTTAAACAGAAAATGTTTAATTGTTTAGTTGCTTTGGGAAAAACTCGTGCTTCATCTTGCATCTACAGGTAGATTACTGAAGTTATATAAAATTCACAGGCATACTTGTTTAGCTCTCCCCAGGATTCTTCTACAGTTGAAATATTTTTGTTATACATATTTATATTCATTTATACATATACACACATGCACAGGAAGGGTAAGGGAAGTAGGTAGATTATTTCATCAAATTTTATTTGTCTGAGCTGTGGCTTCTCTTCTGTCTGGATATAATAAAGGTTCAAACTAGAACTAGAACCTTTAGAGCTTACATTAGAAAAAAAGAAAATTTTTCTCCTAAAATGCATTTAATGAAATGAATATTCCTCCCAAATACATATTTTCCTAAAAATAATAATTTTTCCAAGAGATGTATAAGAAAAATAGTATATAACCTATGGAAAAGTACATCATTTTATCTTTCCCTTTTCCACGGAGTATAACTTTATGTACATGTCCATAGTCTTCTGTATTTAAAATTTACAATTTCTTTTTGCTGTGAAGTAAGCTTCAAAAGCTACAACATTTTGGACTAACTTTAACTTACATGTACCTACAACTCATGCAGCAGATAAGGCAGTTTTCTCCATGGAAACTATGATTTAGATTTCTTGAGATACCAGAAAAAAATAGACATCTACCAAATAAACAACTGCTAAACTTAATACAGGTCACCCAAATTTCTACGGTAATTTCTTTGAAGAAATCAATGATAACTCTTCATGTCAATATCTTTATAGAGTTTTATTTCTAATTTCCTCATTTCATACAATAATAACATGACATAACTGAAGTACATTCAAGCACCTTAAGTATTTTACCTGACACAGTTTCTCCATCCAAATCACTAGGGTATAAACTTGAGAGAGAAGCACTTCTCATTCCAGAATTTCGGGTTAGTCGTTGACTCTTTAACTGACCTATAGACTGTTCCAACGTTTCTTTTAACTGCAAAGAAATCAGTTTACTGAAATATAAACAGAGGCATATACAATAGCATGCAAGTAATCTTAAGTCATTAAGATAATAAGAGCTCTTTTTAAGCCAAGTTTCATCATGAACTACTGGCATCTTTTCTTGGTTATCTCTCATATACATAATATTCTCCTAGCTGTAGTAAAACAAGCTTTCAACACTGGCAGTTTCAGATATTAAGTTTATTAAAATACAGATATAATGCATCAGGAATACTGAAAAGAAAAAAAAAAACAAGTATGGCTACTCTAAGCCAACTCTGGTTTTAAGCCTCTCACTTTTATCACACCTTTATTTGAAAGTCCAAAAAACCTATATTTCTAGAGGATCATCTCTCCTCCCCTTAGAGAAATATATGAAGAATATTTAAATTACTACTTTATTCTTGCAGAAATCAAGAGAGTTGGATCTCTGCTTTTTCTCTAAAGCTTAAAACACTATTTTAAATCTTCACTGAATCTTTTCAAGTTTGCTTAGGTTCTTTCTGAAGTGTTTTCATTATATTATTTTATCAGAACTCCATAATCACTAAGAAAAGCTGAATCCAGAGATAGGATCTCCTAAAGCTTCCTTAAAAAGACACGCTACTTTAGGAAAAAATTAAGACAATGCAAGTACATAAAAAGAGATCACCTCTGCACTCAATAATTAAAAAAAAAAACAAAACACCATATGAAGACACAAGAGGATCAAAACAAGAACATCAATAATTCAGTGTTCAAATCTAACCTAACCCTGAAACTGACCAATCTTAGATCTCTAACAAGTGAACATAAACTCTGAATCAAGCTACAAGTGTTTAATTTGCATGCTTTACTTTGTCAGCACTAATTTTTATTCCCCCAATATGAAATGGGATACAAAAAAATAAAAATAAAAAAGTAGTGACAGTGTCAAGAATTAACACTCTTTGGTTAAAAAATTAGGTGTTTGTTGCTATTCAAGGTGCTTGTGTTACTTTAAAAAAAGTTATTAACAGAATAAAGAGAGGCTAGTAGAAAAGAGATATTAAAAGGGATGAGTTCGAACAACATAGCCTTTATAATCACCGATCAGAACTCCATTCCTTGATACTTCCTTATCTATCATATCACCACTTAAATGAGAAATTCATTAAGGTTTTTTCTTAAACAGCTATAGTAGAAAAAGAGATGCAGTACTTTCTGATCCCTACATTTCCACATATGTACCACATTAGAAAATTCTGTAACTCTGTTTCAAAAAGGGAGCAGAAAATCAGAGCAGGTTTTTTTGTTTGTTTGTTTGTTTTTTTTACTAATCAGCTGGCATTTTCTTTACTACTTAAAACACAGGTAGATTGTTAGTCCCTAGATTTCTCTTCAACTCAAGTCATAATCAAAAGCCACTTAACATAACAGAAAAGAATGAGTTATAAAACTAAAAATGTTTGAGTGATGTTTCACCTTGATGTCTGCTAATAAAAAACACTTCCAGAATAATGAGCTACATTTAGAATCAGCATTTATTAAAAGCAATGTTAAATGGGTTCAGTCCCTACCAGAAATTCTACAAATTCAATAACTACGAAAAGCTCATAAAGATATAGAGTTCAAATAAGAAATTCCATGAAAGTCTTGTCTCTGCTGACTAAGAAACAAATTGCTTGAGAGGCCTTCTTTCTTTCTTTCCTATAGATTTAGGATTTCTTCTCCTATTCCCTCCGCTTCCATGTATAAAATAATACTGCCTTGTATCTAAGTTTCAAGGAAGCACCAGTTGCAATTTGTTTGAAACAAAGTTATAAACCACTCTTGTCCTATAGGCATTAATTTATTTTAGAATCTCTGTTCAGACACCTGCTTTCAAACTCACAGAACCCTGGTGTGTAAGAAAACTTTTATTCATCTGAAATTTAGAGAAAACTTGTTGGTAAGTTTTGCAGAATCATAAAAAAGACTACTGAAACAAAAGGTATGTGTCCTATTTGCACACTGTACTTTCCAGACTATTATACTACAACATAATCTACTTGGAATCTATAAACCAGAAAAGTAATAAAGCTTCAAAAATTGTTAGTTTCATTATATAACAGAAAACTAAAGTTTGGCTTAGGCTGCTCAAGTAACTATGAAAAGTTAACAACATCTACTTAACTCTTGATATATTCTACCCATTTCTGCCAAGTTTTCAACTGTGAATGCTGCTAGGAAAAGAAAAAATTTAAGAAAGGATAAACTGAAAGTTGCTCACAGTTGCTATTGCTTCTGTTTGTTCCTTGTTGTATTCTCTGTATTGCCCCAGCAAGTGATCAACGTGTCTCAGGTTTCTGTTGGTATCCTTAAAAAAATGTTTGAGGAAGAAAAATCAAATAGAAATCTCCAAAAATCTAACATCACTGTTGTCTTTACTATTCCTGATTTATGAATAAGTTAATAAAACAAGTTTTGTTGTTATTGTTGTTTTTAAAGGGCCTAAGCATTTAAAAATTCCAAACACTATTTGAGAAGCCAGAATCTGAAGAAGTACAGAGGAGCTAAATGAACAAAAAATGATGTGGTGGGGTTTTTTATTCCCTTGGGTTTTTTTTTGTTTGTTTGTTTGGTGTTGTTTTAACTTCCATGAAGAAATTAAATAAACTGTTACTAAGGCTCTTAGGTGACATTCTCTTTAGGCAGGAAACTAGCACCCTATTTAAAAGGCAGAACTGTCAACATAAATATACTTTCTTAAAGTTTATGGCAAGATTACACAGCCCTCAAGACTACATTTATCTATGGCATAGACAGCATTTATCACAGCTTACATAAAACTATACAGTAATGGGAAGGAATGCCAACTTAAAGATGACTGTGTCGAGACATACACATTGCATTCTTTACCATGGGGCAACTTGGCCAAAATCCCATCATTTAGTTTATATAACAGCTTCATGGCAACTTAAGATGTCTTCAGCCAGACTGCTGCAGTCCAACCCTTCTCTTCAGCACAATTTTTCTACACAACAAAGCCTGTAACCAGGTGAAGAATGGAAGGATAGGGTGGCACGTCTGCTGAGAAACTATTAGCTTAAAATCAGATTCTCAAAAGAGCAGCCAGAAAGAGGCTAGATTGGAACTTTCTATTGTGAGAAATAGATTGGAATGCCTACTTATTTTCTTTATTTAGAACTTGAAAAGGTGTACAGTACAGGTGTACTATAAAAGATGAGGCTAGAAGTTTCCACTATAAAATTCAACATCGCTTGTAATGATGTGAAAAGGTTTTTGGCATTATTCAGTTCGTTAATTTTATTAATAGTTTTGCTAAACACATCGTTGTTTCTAACAATATTCTATTAAACTTTCATACAGTTGTTATTCCATATAGCACCAAGCCACCTAATTTCACCCCTAAGGCAATACAATCAGTCACATAAAATATTTTGGCTTACACAGAAAGCAATGCCTCCCCTCACTACAATACATTGCACAACTTCAGAAGTGAAAATTTGACTTTTCTTTAAAAACTGTTTATATACTTTAAAACAGTATTTTGTAAGCAACCTGTAAAGTGCTTGCTAACGTATGAATCTTTTCTGTAACTTCTTCAGCACCATTGTTCCAAGCTCTGTTCTGGGATGCCCTCCTCAAAGGTGGCCATCTTCCTATTTGAGCCCTAAAAAAGTTGTCTGAATCACTGGATGAATCTGCCATCAGTATCTTGAAACCTAGGTTGAAAGATCAGAAAATAAGCATTAAATCCTTACTGTAACTGAACAAATCCAAGCCATACAACATTCCCCAAGCAACTTCATAGACTATTCAGACCACTACATTAACAGGATGTATCTCAGAGGAGCATTTACCAACTGTTGCTCAGTTATTATGCTTGTTCACACCATGAAGTAGAGGCCAACATGCAAGGAGACCTCTTTTGGACAGAATTAAACCAATAGACGTATTCTCAACACTACTAGGTGTTCAGCACACAGGCAAAGATCCTACCTGAAAACAAATTCTTTCTGTAAAATATACAATAGAGACATCAGGAGAGCAGAACAATTGATGAAGCCCTCATGTGACCAGGCAGTTGGGCACTGCGATCTTTTCCATCCAACCAAACTACCCTATCAGAATCATTCTCCTTTTGCCTCACTCTCATTTCTAAGCTATATTTAGGTTGACTGTGCTCAATTAATACCAGTGATTGTGTGAAGTGAGATTAAGAAGCGGTGTCTTTAATGACTCAAGAAAAATTTGAGACATTATGATAGAAGGCAAATGCAGAGACTTTAAAAAAAAAGAAAGCAAAATGACACACTAATCCGCTTAATTTTAATACGTGGAAAAAAAATAAAATAGGCTATTTTAAGTTTCTAGTAAAATAGCTTTTCTCAAAAGAAGAAAAGCAATGTGAGTTGATATCAAATCAATTGAGCCAATAATGGTTAACTAGAGTTTGTTAAACAAGAAAGAGGCAGTAGAGGTTACTTTTGAACAAACAAACCATTAAACATGACATAGCCAAAATTAACCTAAAGAAACATAAACCAAATTAAGCTTTAAGAAAATGGAAGTTGAACATCAGAACTCACAGAGAAGTTGTGTCAAACATAGAAATATCAAGTGAGAACCTACAGTAAGTCTACTATATATTTTCTTTAAATGACCTGATTATAGAATGGAATATGTTTATTACATTTACAGACGCTTATAGATGCTGGCAGAAGAAAATAAAAAGTATTTGGCAGACATTAATCAAAGTTCAATATGCACTGACAATGTAATGTTCTAGAAAGAAAAAAAATGTAATACCTTAGAAGATGGGGGGAAAAAAGGCTACTTTCATAAACAATGAAATAGTGCTACTTTTACCCACCTTGCATTCAAGATAACCCTATTGCTGTTTTGAGGTTAAAGAAATCTGCTTGAATCAAACTCAAAAATAATTTGAGGTAGAAAAGATAAGGCTTGTGAAGAAAGAATGGGGATTAAGAAAGGCAGAGTAATGGAGAGTAAATTAGAAGAAGTTGTTAGAAGCTGGGATCAGTAATGACTGCTGTAAGCAAAGTCAACTAGTAACAGATTAAAATAGCAACCCTGTAAAACTAAGTTAAGACAGAACTTTCTTAAATTATCACACAATGCAGTAGCCTGCCTAGAGTTTATGGAGTTACTATCATTGAGATTTATGCTAACAATATCTTTGTGGAGACATAGTCTGAATCTAAGTATTTTGGGGAAAAAGGAAAAAAATGACAAATTTTTGAATCTCTTTTGGTCCCGTAGTAGATACGAGAAAAGTAAAGCCATGAATACAGAAGTTCCCCAAAGAAACCATGGATGAGATTTAATTCTTACACTGTATTTTATATGCATGCCAATTGATGTTTTTCCAGAGTCTTATTAAAAAGATATAAATTTGTGTCTGCCACACTTGGATAGAAACTTTTCAAATATGAAAGGAGAGTAAATCAATATAATCAGTTTCTGCTTAAGTACACCAATATTCCCCACAGCTGTTTTCTGAAGTAAGGAATTTATCTCATCTTTGCTCCCCTTATCTCACTAAAGCACACTCTGGCTGCCAGTATCAGCAATCACTATTCCAGTATGTCTCACTGTAGTCAGATGAAATGAAGTCTAAATGAGGCTAAGCAAGCATAAACATTGAGTACTGGGAAAAAAAGGGAATATTGGATATTTTCAAAGAGAGAAGAAAAGAAATAGAGCATAGATAGTAATAACAGTGTAGAATAATTTTAATTTTTACCATAAAGTCCTGCTAATCACTATATTAAGCTGTGTTTTCCCCATCAATTTTTACTGGAAATTCACACAGACATCAGCACAATCTATATTCTAGCACACAAACCACCTGCATCACTGATAAGCATAAAAAGAAACTTCTTTCTCAAAAAAAAAAAAAAATCTTATCACCTTAGGGAGCAATTCTTAATTCCTCTCTAATTGCACTGTCAGTCTCTGGGCTTTTTTTTTTTTTTTTTTTGCTCTTACCCACTACACACAAGAAGCAGAACAATCACTCAAAACCCAGTAAACAATGGATTCAACAACCACTTTCCTCAAATTAACAAACATTTTCAGCTTCAGTGCACTTTGTGAAAAGATTTTTAAGACCCCAAGCAACAGAGAGATGCTATTAATGGCCATACTAAAAATAAAGCACAAGATCAGCCCTATGAGAGACCAGAAACCCAGCCCTGAGTCATTAATCCAAGGGAATCTACTCTTTATTTGTCCATAGGCCTTTGTACCACTATATTTTCACTTATTCTTATATTTGAAGCATATTCATTTTTAATAATCATAGCAAATGGCTGATGACCTGTACCTGCAATGTTTTATCTCAACTACAAAGTCATACTAAATGTTGTTTGACAAAATTAGATTCTTCAGAAGTGCAGTTCACAGAAAACAAATTCTTTTACTCCCTAAATATGCATAAATGCATGTTACATTTACTCTGTATGTAGAATATTGCACAGAAGTATATTCTGAGTTCAAGAAAACTAACCTTACTTTATACAAATCATACAGCTTGTCTGTGAGCTCAACAGCTCAAGAGAAAGATTAGGCTTAATTCTGACTTCCATTACTTCACATTTCTTTCTACACCAAAGAATCCCAAAATAATATCTTTTACAACATCACCAGTTTCACATTAGTGAAAGGTTAGTTATTGAATCTCAGTTGACAGGAACCAAATTCTTTAAATTTTCCCAAATTCAAAGCAACTGGGTCCCTGCACACAGTTCTACGTGCACTTCTAGTTAGATGAATATGGGAACTCATAGCAGAAGAGAGAAAGGCGTTGATAAAATACAACGAAAAGTAATAACTGACTGATGTGCTGAAACTGTAATTCTGAGAAGTGCCTCAATCATAAGAGCCAAAATCAGAACAGCTACATCACTGAAGGAAACGAAAGGGAAATGAAGATTTACAGTAATACAATTGATGGTGCTGTTTTCAGCTGACCAAAATTAGCTCGTTAGGATACTAAGTGGCTAAAGTACTGAAGAAAGGGCAGTAAATGACAGAAACCTAAAAGGAAACACCACACAGACTTGAAGAAGAGTTCCCATTTATAGTTATGTAGCATTCCTCCTTATTATCATAAGCAACATAGAGAAACTGCAGGCACTTTAAAGCTGGAGGATTGTTTCATATAAAGCAACATCCTCATTTTTAAAGGAATTACAGAAGTTTTATTTTAGATTTAAAACAAAAAAAACAACACCAAAATCATACAGAGTGGAGATTTGTGCAAATATTCTGTGTAGACACTTGCCGTATTAATTTAAACCAGAAAAGAGTATCATCACTTCTTTCAAAAACCTCCGCTGATTGCAGGTCACTACCATATAACCTACGTGACAGTAAGAAACATTGTGGTCAGTTTTGCTTTTTACTTTGATCTTCCAGCGTACAGTTAGTTTACCTGGACAGGCCGTAACGTTTCTTGCAGCAAGAAACGCGCCAGCTCTCCCAGCTGCCGTCCCTGTTAACACACCGCGCCCGTGCCGCGGGGGACGTTCCTGCAGAGACCGCAGGGCACAGCAGCACGACGCGCAGCCTCAAGCGAGCAGATGAGCTGGGCACACGCAGCCCGACGGCTTCCCAAGCGCTTCTATTTGTTTATCCACACATACACTAATCTATCACTAGGAAACCGCGTGTAAAGCCGTGCCTGAAGCCTTACAGTTAAGGGTGAACCAGACAAGGACTGAGAGCGGTTCCAGACCCGCAGTGCTTCTTTTTGCGCCTTAAAATTTCAGGCACCCGATGCCACAAGGAGACACTCCAGCACCGTGCACCCAGGCACCAGAACTACATTTATCACCGACACGTGACACCGCACCCCTGAGCTCTTCAACACCACGGCACAGCAAACGATTCTTTCGTACCATTCGCACCAAATACACTCAAGTAACCTGGCTTTACCGACACCCGACGCAACCCCTGACGGTCCCGGCCGCCTTAGCTCTCCGCCCCGTGCGCGCACCGCAGGACAGCGCCGGGCACGCCGCCGCTCGTGCCCCTGCAATCCTGCGGGCCGCCCGCCTGCTCCCGAGGCCCCGCATTGGCCCCGCAGGAGCAACCCGCCGCCGTCGCCGCGCAGGGCAGCGCGAGGCGCAGCCCCAGCCCTCACCGCGCCGCCGCCTAGAGCCCCACCTCCTCGGGGCGCTGCCGGCCCCCTCCCCACACGCGCTTCCCACCCTTCTCACCTCGCCGCTATGGCAACTTGAACTAGCCGCCTTGATACCGGCGGGCAGAGCCGCCTTCCGGGAGCCTGAGCAGCCCGCGAGGCTGCTATGGGATACGTAGTCCTCGAGTTGCAGTTCGGCCTTGGGGAAGGAAGAACAGAGAACTTCAACTCCCAAGAAGCCTCGCGAGGCAGCCGGACCAGGCGAGCGGCGGACGCCCGCAGGAGGAATAACAGGAGGCCAGGCCCCGCCCCTCCGGGAGCCGTTGACTCTTCTGAGGCCGCGGCTGCAGGGAAGCAGTGGGGGTCACTGCTCGCTTCTCGCGGCAGCCGCTACGTTAGGGCGCAGTCCGTGATGTACAGCGGTGTTTATAAATGTGTTTAAAAGATACAGTTTTACAAAATACGCATGAATGTTTACAAACATTTACATTTTCTAAACATCATGTAAATAAACAGAACAAACGGAAACTGTGTCTCTGCTGAAACAGATGCGTGTACCATACTTTAAACACAGGAGGAGGCTGGAAGCCTGGCTGATCCACTGAAAAAAATGAGTGTGTGAGCTACCAGCAGGCTGTGTGTCTGACAGATAAGGCATCTCCTTCCTTCTCCCTCAACTTTTTCAGACTTGTGTTTTTGAGCCAGGCACTTCCCTGTTCACAAATGCTGCGTCTGCTACCTGTGTGCAGTAAAAAGGAGCAAAATATTACAGACTGCTGTGCTGCAGAGCCTCAAAGAGAGAGATGAGATAACATGGGTGTTAAATGCAACTGCGGAGAATTGATACAGAAGATCTTTTCAGCTTGGGAGGATGATATGTAAGAAATCAATGATTTAAATGTGCATACAAAGCTTAAGAAGATGTTTAACTTCTCAAGCACAAAACATTTTTATGTTGTTATATGAAAAAAATCATATGTATCTCAGTATTTTGGTTATCTAAAGTACTATGTTGCAAGAGTCACCTTATAATGATTGCTTTTAGAGAAGCCAGCGTGGTCTTTTTCTCCTTAAGGTTCGTTCTGGTTTTTTTAGTGCTCTTGTTCTCTGCTTGAGCAGGTGAATAGGACCAGGTGACATCCAGACATCCCTTCAAACCTCAATTTTTCTGTGATTCTCAAATCCTTTCTGAATGCAAAGACACAGCTTTCATAGTTCTTGCCTCCTAATTGCTCAGGTGTGAGAGACAGTTCAGTATCAATATTCTACCTGAGTATACTTAAAACTGACAGACCTCAAGCTTTACCCAGCAGAACCTCCTAGTTAGTCTTCAGCCAACTGAGAGCTTTATTTTTTTTCGTATTTTTTTTTTTCCCATGAAATAAAGAAACAGGCAGGAGAAGCACAAGATTTTCTTAAATCCCACAACCATAAAGTTCCATGACTACCTGTTCTTGAAGTTGGAGATAAATTGGTTATACAGTCATGACTCTTCAAGAGCATAGAACCACACTCTTTCATGTAGCTATTTGACACTTGGTCTAGTGAGTGGCGCTGTGCCAAAGCAGCATCTTCAATATAATTTCTTTTTTACTGACAGAATAAGAATTATTTTAGTTACTGAAATTAGAAATAGTTACGGATGAATAAGAAGAAAAGTATTTGTTCTACTGCTTTACTTAATAATCTCCCTATTTTGAGCACTTCCTTATACATATATTACAAGATTGAATTGTTGATATCTTGTAATCCCTTTGGGAGTTTATGAAGGGCAGCAATTAGAACTAATTGCTTCTTTGGAAGCACCTGTTATGGTTTGTCTAATTTGCATATAAGCCATATAAGGAGTGCAAAGATTCCCAAGATATCATATCAGATCTGGCAGCAAAGAGTAATGTTATTTCTAAATAAACTCACTGCCAAAACAATGGAATTATGAGCCTTGAAGTATTGAGATACACACAGAATGAACCACCATTCCTGTCACTAGAGGGAGCATCTGTAACAGTGGAAAAATGTACTTTGTCACCACTTGTCATGGTTAAAATTATAGGAACTGGGAAAGGGAGAGCTGAAAAAGCACCAGGAAAAAAAAAAAAGAAATTGCAATATACAGTGGTTTTTCAAGAGATTTTTCTGTCTCGTTGATTTATTAGGATTGGAACAATACTCTATTGTTCTTGGAACAATATTCATTGTTGAAAACCCCTGCATTTCTTTATAGTGAGGGCGTACAGGATTTTGAATATTTGTCTCTAGAGTTCTATATATAACTGTATATATATCTATGTGTATGCATATAATATATACATATCATGGAACATATATATATGTAAAATGTGGGTGATAGTTATAATACATTATTTTAATATAAAATAAAGGAACATTTGTTTACATTTATATGGGATGACAAGTTGCCGCTGAATTTGAAGTGCTAAATGCCATCACTTTTCAGAACTGGTGTGGTCAGAACTACTGATTCCTTTCTACATTCTAAAATATTTGCAGTTTTCCCTAAGCTAAACAGTACTTTTCCACCACTCCTTTAATGGTCGTGTTTCTAAAATCTTCTATTTTCTTCACTATCCACATAATAATTCTCAGTTTTTCTGCTTCTGTCCTGGCACTTAATGCTTGGTATCAGATACAGTACTGCAGACAACTCAATAAATGCAAAGTAAAGTGGAATAACTGCATAATATTCTATTTTTTTTCTGACATCCAGAAGGTGTCTTCTTGCACGTAGTGACTTGCATTTTCCTCTTCCTGTTAAGCTATCAAAGTCATTTTAAAAATATGATGATATGATCTAGAGCTTATAGACCTCCCTAGCCTGGGGCCATATGTAGCAAACATACTTTTGTTTTCACCATCAACCAGCTTGCTAAGGAAAACATTGTCCAGAGAGACCAGAAGGTGTCTAGGGGAAGACAGAGCATGGCTAGCAGGATGTATCCCTCTGGGCTGGGTATCCAGGCAGCAGAGCAGGACAATAACAGGAGCCCATCTCACCACCCAGCCAGGAGAAGGGCAGCTGGGGGCACGGGGGCAAGCCCTAACATTGGGCACCTGCCTGGGCACGGGGATGGCTGGGCCAGGCTGGGACATCAGCTGGATAGCTGGTCTGAGACCCAAATTTGGATGCCTAGGCCTCTGCTGACATAGAGCGTTGGGCCAATACAGAGGGTGCACAGTAATGGGGTGGAGAAATTGGCCAGGACAGAGCCCTGACAGTGTGAAACAAATAAACACTGACTGCTGACCTCTAGCTGACAGACTCCTTATACTTTTCTACTTATGTGAGAGACTACAATGTCATTTCAGTTAGAGCAGAACTTTTCTGAGGGCTAAGCTAGTACCTGTGAAATCACCCCGTGGTTAGCAACAGCCTTTTTCTCTGAAAACTCTTAGACTTCTGAACACACAAGCCCAAGTCTCAGAGCCCTGGAAGAAATGCACCCAGACTTGGAGCTCTCCTGAGGCTGAAGTCACATCCTTTGTCCTATTTTCTCCAAGGCTATCAGGCTTTGAATTAGAGGAATTAAATGCTTCTGACATTGAGGGTTCAAATCCAGGAACCATGCATCAAACAGTTCTTACTCCTTTTGAAATCTACTCATAACATCGACAGCTTCGCTACCAGCCTTCACAGAATCACAAAATCACAGGATTGCAGGCATTGAAAGGGACCTGAAGAAATCATTGAGTCCAGTCCCTCTGCTAAAGCAGGTATCCTACAATAGCTTGCACAGGTAGGCATCTAGAAGAGTCTTGAACATATCCACAGAAAAAGACTCCACAGCCTTTCTCTCCACAACCTGTTCCAGTGCACCGACACCCTTACTGTTGAGTTCTTCTGCATGTTATTACAGACATTCAAGTTTTAGGCCATACTCCTTGTCCTATCACTACACACCACCAAGAAGAGCCTGGCCTTATCCATTTGTGTCCCACCTCCCTTTAGATATACATAAACATTGATCAGATCCCCTACTAGTCTTCTTTTCCTGAGGCTGAACAGACCCATGTTACTCAGCCTTTCCTCATGCTGGAGATGCTTCAGGCTCTTCATCATCTCTATGGCCTTCCACTGCACTCCTGCTAGGAGATCCCTATCTTTTTTGAACTGGAGAGCCCAGAACTGGACACAGTATTCTAAATTTGGCCTCACCAGGGCAAAATAGAGGAGGAAGATCACCGCCCTCAGCCAATTGGCCACACTCTTTTTAATGCACCCCAGGATACCATTGGCCTTCTTGACCACAAGAGCGCACTGCTGGCTAATGGCCAACCTGTTTTCCACCAGGACACCCAAGTTCTTCTCCTCAGAGCTCATCTCCAACAGGCCACCCCCTAACCTGTATATGTGGTTATTCCTCTTCATGTGCAAGATTCTACACTTGCTCTTGTTAAACCTCATCAGGTTCCTTTGTGCACAACTCTCCAGTCTGTCCATGGTAGCACAGCCCTTAGTTGTGCCAGCTGCTCCTCCCAGCTTTGTATCATTAGCAGACTTACTGAGCGTGGACTCTATCCCTTCATCCAGGTCGACTGATGAAGATACTGAAAAAGATTGGACCCAGAACAAACCCTTGGGAAGCACCACTAGTTACAGGCCTCCAACCAGACTCTGCACAGCTGATGACAACCCTCTGAGCTCTGTCAGCCAGTTCTCAATCAACCATCCTCTTATCTATCCCACATATTTTAAGTTTCATAACAAGGATGTTCTGGGAGACAGTATAAACACCTTGTTGAAGTCAAGGTGCACAGCATTCCCTGTTCTCCCCATATCTACCCAGCTGGTGACGACATCACAGAAGGCTACCAGGTTGGTCAAGCATGATTTCCCCTTGGTGAATCCATATTGACTACTCCTGATAACTTTCTTCTCTTCCCATTGCTTGGAGATGGCATCCAGAACAAATTGTTCCATTACATTTCTAGAGATGGAGGTGAAGCTGATTGGCCTGTAGTTTCCCATATTCACCTTGCCAATTTTGAAGACTGGAGTGACACTGGCTATCCTCCAGTCTTCAGGTACCTCTCCCATTTGCCAGGATATTTCAAAGATGTTAGAAAGCAATTCAGCCAGTTCTCTCAGCAGATGTTGGTGCATCCCATTGGGGCCCATGGATATATATGTGCACTGATTTTGGCTAGATGCTCTCTGACCAGATACAGTCTGGGATTCCTGAGGGCTAGTCTGAGCAATAAAGACTGAAGCAAAGACGACATTCAAAATTTCAGCTTCTCAGTGTCCCCTGTTACCAAGGCATCTACTTCATTTAGTAGGGGACCCACATTTTCCCTAGTCTTCCTTTTACTATTGACATACCTAAAAAAACCTTTCTTGCTATCCTTTACCTCCTTTACAAGGTTTAATTCTAAGAGGGCCTTACCCTTCCTTGTTGTATCCCTACAGAACCTGACAACACTCTTTTATTCTTCCCACGTGGACAGATCCCCTTTTCCACATTTCATGGACTTTGTTTCCTTTCAGTTTATCCATGAGTTCCTTGCCCATCCATGCTGGCTTCTTGCCACCTCATCCTTGACATTTCTTTGGCCTACAGCCATTCATTGTTGATACTTTTTATCTATTATTAATAGCTGGGAAGATATTTATTCCTTCCATTAACACTTTCCAGACTACTGTGGTTGCCATGGAGCAGCTGACATACCAAGGCTTCTATTACCAGTTCTTGTGCTCTTACTTTTCTCCCCACTAAATAAAATGTAACTTTGCCTCAGTGACTGAGAAATGAAAGGATGTGATGTAGTCATCCTCTAGTTTAAGAGCCTGCAGCCGAATTACTATGGGTAGCTAATAGGAGGTAGCTTATTAGTAAAGGTAAGTAACATAAGGATATCTTTTGTACACGAAATGAATAAGTATGATTGGGTTTACGCAAACCTACTGAAATGACTCAAATCATGGGACTACTTATTATCCACCAAAAAAAACTAATATTCTTTTGCTTAGTCCACAAAAAGTAGTACATAAAAAGTAACACTGGACACAGAATAAGAGGAGGGAGAGAGAGTTTTCAAGAGAGCACTCACAATAGGTTACAAAATATCACTCCATCAGTGCTACCTTTAAAGAGGGAGTGCAGGTCCCCAGTCTCTTCATCTCATCGGTTCTTGTTTGCTGTGAAAAACACAGACTCTTCCATAGTACTCTTAGTTGCATTGGATCATCAAGAAAGTTAAGAGAGGACAGAGATTAAGCTGGAAGTAGAATTTAATGCTACAGCTCAAAGTTGACAAGCCACTGCTGGACAATGTCAGGCAATATTTTCTGTGTAAAAAACTATGGCTTTCAACTATGGCTCTTAGTCACTGCCTAGAAATCAAGTGTAGAATAGACTCATAGCAGCTAAAAGCATTGATCCAGAGAAGACAGAGATTTCTCTGGTAATCTATTTGTTTTGCTAGATTATTTTGTTTTCCTTTGTGTCAGCCTGTGTCAATCATTTATTTCCCCAGGTCAGAAGGAACTGAGGAACTGAGATTTTCATGTCCTGTTGCTAATACAGAATGCAGTATCCCTCGGACAAGCTGTTGCTAATACAGAATGCAGTATCCCAGGGACAAGCTGTTGCTAATACAGAATGCAGTATCCCTGGGACAAGCTGGCTATTTTAGCAGTAAGAAAATCAGCAGAGAAGTTTGTTATTCTAGAAAAATCCTGAAGGCAGCTGAAGCATGCTGAATATTACAACACATGGTATGTTAGAAGAAGCTGGCTAAGTGGTTGACTACTGTCTTTGGGTAAAGGACCCAAGCTGAGCCTAGCTCTATTTCACTAAAATTTTATTCTTGTTTTGTTTTTGTTGTATCTATATAGCATTTTTTCAAATTATGACCATGTCTAATTTCTTACTGTGAGCAGGTTACTTCTCTCAATTTCCTCCTTCCTAGAGAGTTACAAACACTTTTTTTTGACATTTGCTTGGCATTTTTCTTGCTTTGTGCACAATATGTGCATGAAGGAGAAATGACTAAAAAAAAAAAAAAAAGAGTAAAAGTATTGAGGCAAAGTATTAATGAATTTTCTTTGTGCTACCTCATTGAATTCAACAGTTATATATTTATATTTTTAAAAATATTTGTTTTTAGGAAGCATCATGTGTGTATGAAGAAAGAATTAATTTAGTATTAACTAAGTCTTTTCAGCTTCCTTTATATCTGTCAGATGCAGACCTGACTGCTGTGATGTGTGTGCACATAGTAAATCAGTGACCCTACCAGTGACCGCTTGAAATGACAGTGGTTCCACCTTGTTTATCTCAAGGTTTCTTTCTCATCTTATGTGAAAGGATTTTATCATTTCTGGTAATTTGAAAAAAAGTTTCTCTTTCCATTTTACTCTCTTTTATCATGTAACTTTCAAAATCACTTTTTTTTCAAATCTTTAATGCTGTTTTTATCTACTTTACCACAAGTATTTACATATTTACTTCACAGATAGGGAATTTTTATTTGGTGAAAAGCACTGAATTGTTAAACAGTTTAGGTTGGAAAGGGCCCTTAAAGATCATATAATCATTTAATTACTAAGGTAGACTTCTAAGATCCAATCGTCTGAGTCCAACCGTCGACCCATCAGCACTATGCCCACTAACCACGTCCCTAAAATCACCCGTTCAAGCTCGAGCTGCTGTTCCAAGCGACTCGGTATTGCTCTGAACAGCCCCGTCCCCCCTCTCTGCGGCAGAGGTGCTGGAAAACGGGTGCAGCGTCCTCAAGTCACTCCGCCGCGTTAGAAGGCAGCTCGACGAGCTCGTCCCACAGCCGACCGTGAAAGCGAAGCGGCGAGGCCGCCCGGTGCCGAGCACTGCAGCAGCGGCCACCCTCGGCAGGCGGCCCCGGAGCCCCGCGGCTGCGGGAGACTCTGCTGTACCGGAGAGCGGCGGGAGGGGGACGGGGAGCAGCGGCCCTGCGGGGAGGGGCGGGGTGGGCACCGGGGGCCGGGCGGGGTAGACGGAGCCCTATCCATGCAGCGGGCGAGCGGGGTTCTGAGAGCCGTCCGCTGGTCCCGCTGCGGGAAGGGGCGGGTTGCTCAGCAGAGGTGCCGCCTTCCCGAGCCGCTACTCTCGGTGGGCTGTGCCCTCTTGTCTCCTCGGGAAGCGAGGGGCAGAGTGGGAAAGGGTGGTGAAAGATGCTGTGGCTGCCTATCGCCTTCCAGTTGGTGCTGGTGCTGTGCAGCCAGGGCGCTGAAAGGTGCCCGTCAGCCTTCTGCGAGTGCTCCGACTGGGATGACTACAAAATTACTTGCAGGGACATCCACTTCATTCCCAGCCTTCCAGAGGACACTCAGACCCTGTGAGTAAGCTGTGGTGAGTTAGGAGAGGACGAGCTTGTCGCAAATATTCTTATTTTGCAAGCATGAGATGCTCTGAGTAAATGCTCTGTGAGAGGTGTCAAGTGGGAAAGTGCTGTAACTCACCTGGGCAGTGAAACACAGTGGGAAACAGCAGTGAAGAGAATCTGTGTGTGCCTGGCAGACCTAAGAAAAGTGCCCCTCAAGCCTTACAGATCTGTTAAAAGGTTCTTGATTGCTGGACTTCAACAGTTTTGGGTATGAGATGGCCGGACTGTGTGTGAGCAAAGAGGGGAAGACTGAATTTTGTATATCCCATGTATGGAGGAGGAGAAAGGGTAGATCAAACAGTTTTACAAAGCAAAAAGAATGGGACTTGTATGTACCATCTTGCAAACAGTTTTCTGTAAGCTTCTGAGCACTTTCAGCATCTTTGTCAAAGCCTGACAAAAGGAATCCATGGGAGCCAGTAATCCCAAAATACTGATTGGAAAATAGAGTACTTCAGAAATACAGAAGTGTGGAGCATGTAATACTGCAGCGATTTTGGGACTTGCAAAAGTAATAGACATTTTAGAGCAATTCCGGTACCCAGCAGTAGTGTTTAGTTCTATTCCTGTTACCTGAAGGTATCACATCTGGATTCCTTCTAACAGTCCAAAGAATGTCATGTGCCCTGTCAGCTCTTTATCTGTTTATGGGACAGAAACTATGGGGAAATGGAAATGGCAGAAGTCATCTTTAGCAAAGCAGCTGAATGACTGTCTGTCTTTTACTTTATAAGTCACAAAAAGTTTCTAGTCTCCAAAAGGAAGTTCATTTATTAGCAAATTACTTTCCAAAGAAATAAATAAACTCTAACTCATTTAACTGTAAGATAAAACCATTAGAAGTAGATTATTTTACATCTTGATAAAGACTCTTGGGACTTATTTTAAAATATGAGCCATTAATGTATTTGAAGGTATTTGAATGGGCTTATCAAGATTTTTAACACCTAACACTAAAGGTATAGCAAATTAATCACTTATCTGAAAAGACAGAGAATAACTGATTTGTGATGTTTACATTGCTTATGTATGACTTTTTGGATTTTGTTTGTTTGTTTTGTTTTGTTGTGTTTTGTTGAGTTGTTGCTGTTTGGTGTCTTTTTTTTTTTTTTTTTTTTTTCTCCTTTCTGGATAGTACAATGCAATTATGCAAGTATTGCAATTGATAAAATCTTAGATTAAATACTTTTTATGTCAGCCATTATACTTTCATATATATGGTTTATTTATCTTCAACATGCAGTAAGGTTACTGTATGTAACATACAGTAAGTTCCCTGAAATTTCTACCATGACAAGGTAGAAAATAAAGCAGCTTCAGTTTACAGGAGAAATATGCTTTCGCATAGGCTTTTAAAATAGTTGATAGTAACAATGAGGTCACATAATGGAATTGGATGCTTTCTCTGGAAATGCTGGTTTGAGGACTGAGAAGTACCTCTCTGTACACAGCTTCAGTGGGCTGTTGCAGTTCTAGGGATATAATCACCAGTTTAAACACTAAGGAATGCTAAGATCATATGCTACTGTTTAAAAACAAAACAAAACAAGAACACAGTGAAAATCTTATTTCCATGAAAAGAAAAACAATTCTGCTAATGACAATTGTAATTTTATGGTGCGTAGTAGAAAAGTTAGAACATGGAATGTTCTGATTTGAAAATAGATAAGAAAATTCTCCAAGAATATAAGGAAAACACAGCTCTTTTCAAAGAAAAAGTGGCCTTTGTAGTTTTCTCTCTGGATCAAGTGTGTATATTTTCTCTCTATTATCTGAGTAGCAGAAGTCTGATGTATATTCTGTTGTCTCTTGAAGTAACTTTGCTTGTGTGTGTGTGAAATCTCAAGACAGCTTATTTTAAAATTTTCTTATGTGGCTATTCAGTTTTGTAGAATTTGTAAAGCTGGGAGGCTGTAGTGAATCTAGGAATGCTTTGCCAGTTATTGAGACGATAACTCTTTTCAGTGTGCGGGATCTTGAAACTCCAATTAAAGTTTCATTCCAATTATTCAGTTGGGGCTGCTCTCATTTCTCGGTCCTACTTTAGGTGAGTGGTGTAAGCTGTTTTTGTTTTTAAACAAGTCGTGCTTATAAGAAATTACAAAAATTGTATATTTCCAAATTCAGCTGGTGAAAAACTGTTGAGAACTTCAGCCAGGAAAGAGTGTTGGTTTTAAAATAATTTTAATTTATTTGTCTAAATATAGTTGATGTGGTTGCTTATCCAGAGTGGCTTTATGCACAGATGATATTTTTCTTGGAGTTGCTTTTTTTTTTTCTGTACAAGATTTCAAGATTTTACTCTTTCCCCTTTTCTTTCCTTTTTATCTGTCTGTGTAGTATAGACAGACCTTGCTTCATTGGTTGATGTTGAGGATTATATATCCATACCATGCTATTGTAGGAAAGCAGGTCTAAGCTACATTGAAATATTCTGCTAAATAATATGATATTAGGTATCAGTACTTCCGTGGTAGCTGTATTTTCACATCTCTGCACAGCTGGCAGCTGGCCTTGTCTGGCCTCATATTACCCCTTTCTGACTCTCATTTTCTTCCACCTATGTCCATTCTTGGCTCTATTCCTTCTTTACACCATGGCAGGATGTATACAGTAATGACAAGATCCCTGTCCCAACCTCACAGCTGGCAGTGCTTTTCTCTTTCACTAGCACAGTTCTAGGGCAGAGCACTTATTGTTAGTATCACCTCTTTTCTGGTTCAGGTTGCTCCTAGTTCCTTCTCTGATTTTTCTAGTAAGGCACATGTAGATATCCTACAGTCATGATGAACAAGATGCCATAAATTCATGCCATTTTCATATCCTGTTATTTCTCCTTGATAGTCTACCACCAGCAATGACAGGTAGCTGAAAAGAGAAATCTTACTATTCCCCCTGACAGAGCCTAATTGCCCTTAAAGTAGGAATTACACAGATCAATTATAGGGAGATTGAATCCTATAGTTCACTGTTTGATTTTTTTTTTTTATTTCCTATTTAATATGCTAGGAGGCATAGATTTTAAAGCCAAGAGAATGCTTTTGGTCATTGGTTCTGGCATTCTTCATGAGAAAGATCATAAAACATCCCAGTAGCTACAGATAATTAAAGCTCTTGCTCCTTTGTTTGTTTGCTTCTTTGTTCAGAAAAATCATCTACTGATTTTAAAATAATATTAACAATAGTCACATTCAACTCTTGACAAATTGTTCAAATGTTTGAGAATCCATGATTTTTTCTATTTTGGCTACTGTTGTTTGGCACACAGAATTGCACTTAGGTATTGAATTTTTCACTTTCAATTGCTACTCTTGAGGTGCCAACCTCTCCGTATTGACTCCAAGAAACTCAGGCTTCTAATTTTGATGCTCTGAGCTGCACATAAGGACAGTGCCAGAACTACCCTAGGGAAACTACTTGGAATAAATTGTTTGTCTCAGAAGATGAAATCTGTGTATCTTTGTGCCACTAGACATTCTGCATTCTTCATCACAAAAAAAAAAAAAAACAAGGAAAGAAAGAAAAAAAAGGATTATTTGTATTTGGTTTCAGTAGAAATTCAAGTAGTTCTGAAGTAACTCCCTGTGTAATTTTTTTCTAAGAGTCCTCTAGTAAATTGTAATAGTATTATAATTGACTTTTTTACATTTTTCTATGTGTTCATAATGTTTGTCGTATGTTAAAAAAAAAAAAAAGAAAGTGGGCTTCAGAGATCTTTCTGAATTTTCAAGTGTTTCTGGTCATTTAGAAATGCCTCTAAGATCTTTTAGGCTTGTTTCATTTCCGTACGTATGATCTCAGCACAGAGGTTTTCTTCATCTCACAAAGCCAGATGTCACTTTTTAGTTCGTATAGAACTGCAGGAAAATCCTTAAATGACGTTTGAAATATAATTATTAACTAAAGCATGCTGTTCTGTAATCTTTACTTAGCTGGTTAGATTCCAATCCTTATTCCCAAATAAACCTACAGTGATTTCATTAAAACTGGTCTTTACTGGAAATACAGCTTACTCTATCTAATTTTTAATTCATATGTCTGAAAAGAAAATGAAATGAACAAGAAAAAAGCTGAAAAATAAAAGCTGTAGCATATGCAAATGGTGAGAAGTAGGGCTAGCTAGAAAAGAAAACATAATTTTTGGTGGAGAAGATGAATATTTTCTCTTTCTGTGAATCTGTACCGAAAAGGTAATGCTGTAGCTCAGAGTTGTGATTTTCCAGTCAATATGGATGTACTTGTTCAAAACTGTATCAGGAACAAAAATCTTTTTCTGAACTACACAGATTTCAAAATTGTCATCAGGATTGTCTCAGCCTCAGCTGCATTGATGGAGCCATGGGCAGGTATGACAAAATATTGCAATGGAGACAGATATCTGAAGATATCCTCGAATAATATTTTCTTTGTAATTGTCTTTACCCATAAAGAAGAAATAAAATTATTTCCTGTTTTAGCCTTTGTTCACTCTCTTGCTGTCACAGAAACTTCCACTTTTCCCAGATTGCATCTTTTCTGATGGAGGAAGGAAAAGGAATTACACCATTGCAGAGGGTTCTGCAGGAACATTATATTTTGTATAGTTTGCATTACCATGCAAACTCCCTAATTAAATATATAAAGATACAACTGCGTATTTAACATGGAGTCTTCTGATACATGGAGTCTTTTGATAATGTTTTGGTAAATATTTCCTTTCTGATAAACAGGTCTGACTTGAAAGTAGTTTATTTCTTCATTCCTGAGAGAAATTGTGTGTCTTAGAACATAACAATTTTAGAATTATTTTACAATGGTATAGGAATGACATTATGAGCCTACTCTTTTATTACCTTTTAAAGGTCATGGTGAGCAAGGGAAGTTCATGATGTCTGAAAAAGGCAAACATCATGCATATATTCCATTAAGACTAACAGGAGGATGCGGGGAAGCAAAACTGATGACTCGTATAT